CCGACGACGCGACGGCCGCGGGCGAGACCTGCGAGGACACCTGCGACTCGCTCGGGTCCGCCGACGACGACGGCTTTCGCACCTGCCCGGCGCTGGACGACACGGACATCTCGGGCTACTACAAGATCGACGGCGAGACGATGTCGCTCGACGGCTGCGCCGAGTCCACCGACTCCGCGAGCTGCCCGAAAGTGTCGATCTTGGCCGACTCGGAGAACTACCTCGCTTCTTCGGGCGACGCGTTCAAGGTCCGCGGCACGGTGAACTTCGTGGTCCGCTGCGACTGCGTCGCGCCGACCGCGACGCCCTCCGCGCTGCCGACGGTGACGCCGACGCCCGCGCCGACCTTCGTGCCGACGTCGTCGCCGACGCCCCTCCCGGGCAATCCGACGCAGCCGCCCGTGCCCGCGCCGACGTCCGTGCCGACGGCCTCGCCCTTCGCGCGGCCGACGATCGCGCCGTCGCCCGCGCCGTCGTCCGCGCCGACGGCCTGGGACTGCTGCACGCACACCAAGTTCTCGAGCCACCTCGACGAGGGCGGCATGCCCTGGGACACGATCTCCGAGTACGACAAGGTGGTCTGCGACGACGTCGCGGCCAAGTACCCCCTCGGCGCGACGTGCCAGCTCATGTCGTCCAAGCTCTCGCTCTCGCTCTCGTCGCCGGGCCGCACGCGCGTGACCCTCGACGACGCCGTCACGCACCAGTGCGGCGTCGACCCCTTGTTCCCGACGGCGACGCCGACGGCGCTCCCCGCGCCGGAGCCGACGGCGCTCCCGGCGCCGCGGCCGACGGCCGTGCCCGCGCCCGCGCCGACGGCCGCGCCGACGCCGAGCCCGACGCCCCGCCCGACGCCGACGCCCACGACGAGCCCGACGCCGTCGCCGTCGCCCAAGCCCACGAGCTCCCCGACGCCCTCGCCGTCGCCCAAGCCCACGAGCGCGCCGACGCCGTCGCCGTCGCCCAAGCCGACGCCGACGCCCACGGCGGCGCCGACGCCCCGGCCCACGACGTCGCCCGTGCCCGCGCCGACGCCCCGGCCGACGCCGGCCTCGGACTCGACGGCGGCGACCACCGACGACTCCTCCGATTCCAGCACCGACTCCACCAGCGACTCCACCAGTGATTCCACCGGCGACTCCTCCGGCGACTCCTCCGACACCGACTCTGGCGATTCCACCGATTCCAGCGATTCCACCAGCGATTCCACCAGCGACTCCACGGACGAATCCACCAGCGATTCCACGAGCGACTCCACCGATTCCACGAGCGACTCCACCAGCGACGCCACCGCCGACGCCGCCTCGTCGACGGACGAGGCCGCGGCGACGTCGTCCAAGTCCGACGACGACGACGACGACGAGGCGGACGCGGCGGCGATCTCGTCCTACGCGGCCGCGGGCCTCGGCGGCCTCCTCATCCTCATCGCCATCGCCGCGACGATCTACATGGCGACGCGCAAGCAGCGCAAGACGAGCGGCCGCTGGGCCGACGTGTCTTCGTTGGGCGCGGAGCTCGAGGCCGGCGACGCGGCGCCGCCGGCGCCCATCGTCGTCCTCGAGTCGCAGTCGCCGCTGTCGAACCTCATCGTCGCCGCGCAGAAGAAGGCCCTCGCCGACGCGCCGCTGCCCGCGCCGGGCATCACCTCGCCCATGCAGGAGTCCGCGCTGGCCAAAAACTCCCCCCGCGAGGCCGACCTCTAGGCCGGCCGCCCGCTTTTTGTTCCCGAGTAAAAAAAAACTACCACCACTACCCTCTCCATCGCGGGGCGGCATGCTAGCGTCGTCGCTTCTTACCTCGACTACCCGTCGGCGTCTCCGACGGGTCCGCGGGCGCGTCCGGCCTCCGCCGCTTCGCGCGGCAGCAGCTGCACCCGAGGGCGGCGGGGTGCTTGACGGCGGGCCCGACGATGTCCGCCGGGTTCCGCCGCCAGCGCCGCAGGCCCTCGGGGTCGCTGGGCTTGGCGACCTCGCGGAACGTGAGCGACACGCGGTCGCCGCGCGACGACGCGTCGAGGACGCCGTGCTTGAGGCCGTAGCGCGAGATGCCGGCCATGACGTAGAGGCTGCCGGCCTCGAGCTCGACCTCGACGGCGCCGTCCGTGCCCGGGAGCTTCGTGTCCGGCGTGCAGGTCCGCACGTAGGACATGTGCGCCGTCGCGCCGAGCGACACGCCGGCGACGACGGGCCCCATCTTCGTGAGCTGGTCGTGGTGGAAGCGGATGTAGCCGCCCTTGGCCTGGCGGTAGCGGTTCGCGTAGAGGAAGTCCATGTCCGCGGGCAGCGCGAGCCGCGCGAGCGCGCGCCGCAGCGCGGGGACGACGCGGTGCTGGACGAGGCCGGGGAACGGCAGGGGCTGGCACTCCGCCGGGTTGAGCTGCTCCTTGTCCAGGAGCGTCACGCCGTGGGTGCAGACCTCGCGGTTCTGTTTGTGCTTCGGGTCGTTGTCCTCCCAGACGTAGCCCTCGGGGAACACGGCGCCGGCGAGGGCGTCGTGGTCCACGGACGCGGGCAGGAAGTTCGGCTCGTAGTGGAAGCCCACGAGGCTCAGATCGCCGCCGTTCTTGCAGAAGGGCCAGACCGTGTGCTTCATGAACCGGCCGACGTCGTCGACGCCGAGCGACTCCGCGGCCTCGTTTTGCAGCGCCGCCAGTTTCGCCCGCCGCGCGTCGTTGGGGATGGTCTGGGCCGGGCAGACGCGGTGCTTGTGGACGAGGGCGTTGAAGGCGCCGATCTTGCGCTTCGTCTCCGCGTCGTCGACGTCGACGCCCGTCGGGTCCGCGTCCGTCCGGCCCTCCTCGACGGGCGGGAACGCGTGGCGCGTGTGGTACATGTCGTAGGCGCGCTTCTTCCGCGGCGGCCGGATCCAGGCGTAGGGCAGCGACAGGTCCATGCCTAAGATGCGCCGGTCCGTGCGGGGGGGGTGCGGTTTCGGGGCGGGCGCGAGGCGGGGCGACCGACGGGGAGTGGCTCAAAGTTCTATATATTCAGCGAGGCTGGATATTATCTTCATGCGAATAGTCTAGTATGAGAAGACCAAAGTTATTTTCATTGCCGGCGGGATGCGTGCGGGGGGCGCGGGCGTGCTTACCGAGGACTCCGCGGGCAGCTACCTCATCGCCCGCGGCTGCCAGTGATTTTCGGGCAAATGAGTCAACGAGGCACTTTGAAGTCAGCATGTCTTCAGCTGATCAGCTCTCCGCTCTCGACCGCTCGGCTCGAGAGGGCCGCGCCGCACGCATTGCTCCGCGCGGCGCTTCGACGCAATCGCATCGCTTCGGCGACGCAATGACGCGCGCGCGCGCATGCTCGCGCCACAGAGCGCGCGTCGCGCTCGCCTGCCTGGCGCTTCTCGCGGCGGCGGCGCACGGCGAGGACTGCTTCGACAGGAACATCGACTGCGGCGAGTGGGCCGAGGACGGCGGCTGCGACGACGCGGAGACGCGCGACTGGATGCGGACGCACTGCCCCGCGGCCTGCGGCGGATGCCCGGACGTCGTGCGCCGCGCGACGCCGCGCGCGCCGTCGCGCGCGCCGAACCGCGCGCCGAGCCGGCGCGCGGAGCTGTAGGGCCCGGCCGTTAGCTCACGCGTTCATGGACGTCGGGTCGCCGAAAATCTGGTCCCGGGGCTCGATGAGGAGCTCGTGGACGCCGACGTGGGCCGGCGCGGTGACCGCGTAGAGGACCGCGTCGGCGACGTCGCTCGGCGCGAGGCAGGCCGGCCCGACGTCGCCGCCGCCGACGACGGCCCCGACCGTGACGCCCATCTTCTCGGCGGCCTCGGCGTCGTCGTTGCGCTGGATCAGGTTCGTCGCCGTGTCGCCGGGCTGGACGTCGGTGACGCGGAGGCCCGTGCCGACGCACTCGGCGCGGAGGCCCTTGCTGAAGACGGAGACGAAGGCCTTGGCCGCGTTGTAGACCGTCAGCGCGCCGAAGAGCGTCTTCGCCGCGTCGGAGCTGATGTTCACGAAGTGGCCCGCCTTCGCCCCGAGCATGTGGGGCAGCGCCGCGCCGCAGACGTTGACCGTGCCCTTGCAGTTGACGTCGATGGTCTGCTCCCACTGGTCGTACTTGAGGTTCTTCATCAGCGTAAAGTACATGACGCCCGCGCAGTTGACGACGACGTCGACCGCGCCGTGCGCGTCGACGACGCCGTCGACCATGGCCTTGACGTCTCCGCGCTTGACGACGTCGCAGGCGACGGCGACCGTGTCGCCCTTCACCGCGCTCGCCTTCTCCTGGGTAATGCTGCGCGACACCATGACGACCTTGGCGCCTTCGCCGGCGAGCGCCGTGGCGACGGCGAGGCCGATGCCGCTCGATGCGCCCGTGACGATGCAGACCTTGCCGTCGAGTTTGCCCATGCTTGCTGCGAGAGCGTCGAGGCAACGAACTGGCAGCGGGTGCTGCGCGATCTCGAGCGCGACGTCGACACGCGATCTAGGCAACGAGCTGGCAGCGGGTGCTGCGCGATGCCGAGCGCGACGTCGTCAAACGATCTCGACGCTAGCGAGCCGCACAAGACTGGTTGCCGATGACGCCAACATGAACTTCACGCCACAGTCCACCTTCTCCCGGGTTACTTCTCGCTCGGTATTCGGCACTTGGGGTAGTGCGGGCCGCCGCAGGCGATGGCGGAGATGACGAGCGCGGCGGACGCGAGCGCGGCGGCGAAGAGCGCGTACATGCGGACCTTGCGCCAGAAGAGCGCGGAGCGGAGCTGCTTGGACGTGTTCTCGAACTTGAAGGCCTGCTGCGTGAGGCGGTCCGTCTTGTCCACGAGGAGCTCGATCTTCTCGCCGCGCTCCAGCACCTTCTCGACGTTCTCGACCATGACGTGGCGGACGTCGTCGAGCTGCGTCTTGACCTTGGCCAGCTCGTCGCTCGACGGGTCGCTGTTGTAGAAGTGCATCTGGCGCTGGAGCACGGGCCCGAAGTCCGCGTTCATCGTGAACGCCGGCGCGTCGCGCGCCGCGCGGCCGTACGCGGCGCCGAAGCGCCGCCGCGCGTCCTCGAGGAACGCGAAGGCGACGCGCCGCTTGCTGCCCTGGTCCGCCATGCAGAGGTAGGTGATCCCCTCGCAGGTCACGTAGTGGAACACGTGCTGGTCGTAGACGTAGGACATCTTCGAGTCCTTGTCCGTGATCTTCGACAGGAGCACGCGCGTCACCGACGGGAAGTTGCCCGACGTCATCGTGAACTCGGCGAGCACGGCCGTCCGCCGCGCGACGACGGCGTAGACGATCATGGCTTTGCTGCGGCGCCGCGCCGCGGCGGAGGGCGCGCGCGCCCCGCGCGCACGGCGACGGCGCGGCCGACGACGCAGCCCCCTCTCAATGATGTGTGCACCACGAGGGGCAGCGTCGACCTCGAAAGAGAGCATGGGCGGCCTCAGCCTGCGATAAGGCAGCCCTCCACCGAGCGACGATGCAATGGTGGATCTTTCTCGTCGCCGCCGTCCGCGGCGCGGCGGCGCTCTGCGCGAGCGTGAGCTTCACGGAGCACATCATCGACGACGACGCCCTCGGCGGCTACAACCTCGACGCCCTGGACCTCGACGGCGACGGCGACGTCGACGTCCTGGCCGCGTCCTACCACGACGACACGGTCGCGTGGCACGAGAACGACGGGGCCCAGTCCTTCGCCCGGCGGGTGATCACGGACGCCGCGGCGACGCCCCAGGCCCTCTGCGGCGCGGACCTCGACGGCGACGGCGACGTCGACGCGGTCGCCGGCGACATCGGCGGCAACGGCGAGCTGAACTACTACGAGAACGACGGGTCCATGTCCTTTACGGAGCACAGCATATCCGTTCCTGCTCGCGGCGCTGTCGGCCATCGTGCTCGCGTGGGTCCAGTTCGTGCTCGGCGAGGGCGGCAAGCGCCGGAGCGGCCTCGAGGGCGACTGCCTCCTGGCCTTCGCGGTCTGGAACGGCTGCTACGCGGTCCTCGCGGCCGCGTCGGCGCTCGCGCTCGCGTCAATCGAGGCGCCGGACGCCGCCCGGGCCGTCGCCCGCGTCCAGCTCGCCTACGAGGCCGTCGTCGCCGCCGCGCAGGGCGCGGCCTACGTCGGCTTCGGCCTCCGCCTGCTCGAGCGCCTCGACCGCATGACGGGCGAGGCCGACGCGCGCGTGGACCAGTTCCGCGGGCGCGTGCGCCGCCTGCTCCTCTGCGCGGGCGCGGGGAGCCTCGCCGTCGCGGCCTGCGCCGCGCTGTCGGCGATGCTCCCGCCGACGCCGCGCATGGCCTTTGGCGTCGTCGCCGTCGCCCAGCGCGCCGTCGAGGCGCTCCTCGCCGTCGCGGCGTCCGCGTTCGGCCTCCGCGCGTCCGCCGCGGGGCAGAGCTCCCTCTACTTCCCCCGCATCGCCAAGCGCGTGACGGGCTTCGTCGGGCTCCGGCGCCGGCGCCGCGAACTCAGCGGCGGCATCAGCGCCCTCGCGTCCTTTTTCCGGAAGGCGAGCTCCGCCGCGGAGCCGCGGGAGACGGCGAGCGGCCGCGTCGAGCTCGGGCACATCTACGGCGGCTCGCCGGGGGTCCGGGACGTCGTGTCGCCCATGGCGCGCGGCTCGACGGCGGGCCCCCAGGACGCCCGCGCGGACTCGGACGACATCTTCACGCCCATGGGCCGCACGGCCATCGGCAAGCGGGCGGCCTTCGCGGAGCCCGTCGCGGAGCCGACGCCGCGCCCGGAGGAGGAGGAGGAGCCCCTCCCGGAGGGGCGGGAGGCGACGACGGAGGACGAGAGCGGCGCGCGCTACTACGCGAACGCCGCGCGGAACCTCTCCCAGTGGGAGCGGCCGGCGTGCCTCGACGCGCCGACGGCGCGGTCCCAGCGGGACGTCGTTTAAATCACTCACCTGGATTTAGGGGGGCGCGCCGCGCGAGGGCCGCGGCGAGCGCGGCCCTCGCTGGCGCCACGCCGGCGGAATCAAACGAGCGCGCCGCTTCCCAGCAACTCCTCGACGCCGGCGTCGACGGCCGTCGCGTCGAGCGGCTCCACCGGAAGTCCGCGGTATACGGCCCGCAGCGACAGCTCGCGCGCGAACAAGACCATGGTGCTGCACCGATGTAGAGTCGCATTCGGCCCGCTCCCCGTCAGGAGTTGCTGGAAGTACAGGCGACGGCGTGCGACGTCCTCTATCGAATCATCGCCTGTTTTCGGCACGGCCGGCCAGGGGTCCCCGCACGTCTCGGGCCCGAGGAGCAGGTCCGCGGCCGCCATGCAGTGGAGCGCGACGAGCGGGTTGCCCGCGCCGTGGAAACTCACGTCGAAGTCGTTTTCGAGGCCGACCGTGCGGCCGTCGACGAGGGGCGACGCGCCGTCGCGCCGCGCGCCGCCGACGCGTATCCCGACGTCCAAACCCTCGAGGGTCGCGGCGACGGTCTCCGGCGGCGAGTCGCTCAGGATCAGCGCGTGGACGCGGCGCCCCGGGAGCCGCCGCGCTCGCAACTCCGCGACGACGCGGAGCGCGTTTCGCAGGTGCCCGCCCTGGCTCCTCATCGAGATCGAGGTGAGGGCCGTCGCGGAGGCGTTCACGGACAAGTCGGGGTGGATCAGGTCGCCGAGGCGCGTGTGGATGACGACGCGGAGCTCGCCGTCGGCCGCGCCGCAGTCGACCAAGGCGTCGCGGTCGACGGCCGCGTAGGCTTCGGCGGCCGCGCGGCGCTCGCCGCGCGGGAGCGCGTCGGTCGGCGGGAGCGCGTCGGTCGGCGGGAGCGCATCGAAGCCGAACCACTCGTCGAACGGCGGCGCGAGGAAGCACTCGAAGTGGTCCCGGAACAGCGCGTCGCCCGTGCGCCAGCGGCACGTTTTACACTGTGGCTTCTCCCTGCACGCGTTCTTCTTTTCGTCCCAAGAGCACGTCGTTTTTGCCGTGCAACGTTGCTGGCCGTGTATCCGTTTGCAGTTTGAAGTAACTGCACGATCCGCGCCGAGCCAATCTCGTTCGTGGCAGTAGAGCGACGGCGCGAAGCCGTCGCCGAGGCCGTCGACGTCGCGCAGGTAGACAGTGGCGTCGCTCACGTACTCCTGGAAGTGGCGCGCGCCCGGACCCGGGCTGCGGCGGTCGGCGATCATCTTGACGACGCAGTGTCCAACGTGGCCGAGGCCGTCGGGTGGTCCGCAACTCAGTCGTCGTCGGCCCGCCGGCGCACTTCGAAGACGGTCCGCGACCTCGAGGACGACGAGTTCACGCAGATCTGCCCCTTCGGCATCGTCGTCGCGGGGACGACGGCCTTCGATCATTCGCTCCTCGGGTAGGCGGCGCGCGCGGATGCGGCCGAGCCCCTTTGCCTTTGCGTTTTTGCGGTGGCCAGAAAATTCCCACGATGCCGTCATGCGTTTGCTGCAATCGCTCGGAAAGTAGCGTTTCAACTGCGGTAAGACGAAGGTCGATCCGCGCTCGCAGACGTGCTTCGACACGAGGGCAAAGTCGGGCGAGATCGCCGGCGCCGCCAGCGCGAGGCGCCACCATGACGCGTTGGTCGGCCGCGGTCGTCGACTGCGACGCGCGTCACCCACCGCGGCCGCCGTGGCGAAGGCGATCGCGCGGATGAGGTGCATGGTTGAATCTGCGGGGGAATCGACGCGATCGGGACTTTGTCTCCGGAGCGAGCGACCTCGTCGTCGAGCGGGAAGACGGGTGGTGGTCGGAACGAATCGAGCTCGGTTCGCCGATTTTAGGCGCTCGACGGGCCTCTTTTTCGACGCGTCGGCGTGACGGGTCGCGCGGGGGGTTGGCAAAGGGTCTGGGGGCGGGAGTGGCCCTTTTCGGCGCGGAGCGTCGCGTAAACGCTCGTGTGAGCGCGCCGCAAATCTCCACTACGACTGAGCACTGCATAGTCAGCGATTGGTCGGACACGGCGCTGGAGGGCCTGGCGGGTGGCGCAGGGGGTCCGTAGGGGGTACGGGCGCGCGAGTCTGTCCGTTTGGCGCGGGCATCGCGCTTCGAGCCCGCGCGGGCGCCTACTGCGCCGCGCCCGGCCGGCGCGCCGCGAAGCTCCGCGCGGCAAGGTCGACCCCAACGACGAACGCGCGCGCGCACTTTACTACGTCGGCGCGGCGTCGTTGGAGTCCCAGTCGTAGTCGAGGAAGGCGAGCTCCGGCGCGTCGAGGGCCGCGAGCGCGTCGCCGAGGGGGCTGCCCGAGACGTAGGCCGCGAGCCTCGCGACGACGCCCGCGTCGTCGTCCGCGAAGTCGGACCCGTACCAGAGGAGGAGCTTGCTCGTCGTCACCGTGGCGCCGCTGACGGACGTCTCCGACGCCACGAAGGCCCGCGCCGCGGCCGCGAGGTCGCCGTCGAGCGTCGCTTCGCGGAACAGCTTCACGGGCGGGCAGCTCCGAGCGCCGCAGTTCAGCGCGAAGTGGATCCGCGGGTCGAAGGGCCGCGCGAGCGTCGCCGCGAAGGTCGCCCGCCGCGGGTCGCCGGCGGCGAAGGCCCGCGCGTCGCCGGGCGCGCCGCCGCGCCGCAGGAGCGCGTGCTCGAGGTCGTCGAGCGAGAGCTCCGCGCCGCAGACCTCGTAGGTGGCGCCCGTCGCCCCGGAGAAGAAGGCCCCGCGCGCCGCCGGCGTGTCCTCCGGCGGCCCGAGGAGCGCCGTGCCGTGGAGCACGAGCGCGTTGTAGAGGTTCACGAGGCCCGCGTCGCCGCCGAGGTCCGACTCCGCCGCGGCCCGGAGCCGCGCGGCCGTGCCGACGAACGCGGCGAAGACGCTCGACGTGCGCAGCGCGCCGTAGTCGACGCCACCCTCCGTGACGTGGGCGTCGACGAGGGCGAGGGCCTGGCTCTGGAGCGCGGCCGCGACGTCGCGCGCGTCGCCGTCGTCGGTCCAGGCCTCGGCCGCCGCGGCCGTGAGCACGTTGAGCGGCCGCCCGGGCTCCGAGAGCGCCGCGACGTCGACGGCGTCGGCCGGCGCCGCCGGCGCCGTCGCCGGCGCCGCGGCGGCGACGTCGAGCGCGGCGAGCGTGCCGTCCGCGAGCGCGGCGACGACGTCGTCCGCGCCGCCGACGCGCAGGTCGCCGAAGTAGACCTGGGGCACGGACGTGACGCCGCTCTTCGCCTCGAGCGCCTCGCGCGCCGCGGGGTCGCCCACGTCCACGGTCTCGTAGGCGAGCAGCGCGGCGTCGAGCGCCCGCTTGGCGCGCACGCAGTGCGGACAGCCCGCCGTCGAGTAGACCGTCAGCGGCTGCGCGTGGAGGGGGCTTGTGTGCGTTCGTCGCGGCGCGCGTGCTACGAAGGCGACGACGCCGCGGGTGGCGAGGAGCGTGATCAGTCGCAGCATCGCAGAGCTGCTCGAGCCACGCGCCAGCGCCATCGGAGCTCTCAGTGAGAGTCTCACACGTTGGCGGCAAGTTTGCGGCAAGATGGCAAGTTGCCGTCGCGCGACGAACTTCGACGACGCCTCCGACGACGCACGCCCCGACGACCGCGCGGTAGATGCGTGCGAAATAAAATAAAACAAAACGCCAAAAATAAACGAGATGCGGCACCCTAGCACTTGCTGCACATGGCGAAGTAGTCCGCCGTGCGGTCGACGCCCGGCACGTCCAGGTTCGTCGGGTCCCAGGCCATCGGGTAGACGGAGTCGTTGTGGACGCGGTCGAAGCGCGCCGCGAAGACCGTCGTCGCGTTCTTGCCGCTGGGAAAGTGCGCGGCGTTGCAGAACCACTTGTCGCAGGGGTCGTCGAGCGTCTCGCCGCCGCCGGCCGGGTGCGCCTCGATGAAGGACCAGTTTCCCTCGCGGTAGATCTCGACCCAGTTGTGGTTGCCGTTCGCCGGGTCGCCGCGCCACGCCGGCGTGCCGACGAGCCGCGCGGGCACGCCCGCGGCGCGGAGAGCGGCGACGAACGTGACGCTCACGCCCGTGCAGGACGCGTAGCCGAAGGCGGCGGTGGACACGGGGTCGTAGATCAGGGGCGTCTGCGACGACTTGAAGACGACGCCCCCGAGGCGCGCCCAGACCGAGTCGGACGCGTTCGCGCCGTAGCCGTTGATCGCGGCGACGACGTCGTCGAGCGACGCGCCGGCCGGCAGCGCGTCGACGACGGGGTCCACGGCGGCGCCGACGAGCGCGCGCCAGTCCGTGCGCGGCTCGTTGACGCACGCGTAGGGCAGGCTGTAGTCGTCGAAGACGTCCCGGGGCACGGCCGCGGCCCAGGGCCGGCGCATCTTCGCCGCGAGGCTCGCGTTGACGCCGACGCTCGCGACGCCGAACTCGAGGCCGTCGACGCCGCCGGGCGCGCCGAAGAGGCTGTACTCGTTCATGAGGTCCCAGGGCGGCGCGTTGGCCCGCAGCCAGGCGAGCGCCGTCTTCTGCGCCGCCGCGAGCGGCTCGCAGGCGATGGAGCCGCCGGCCGCGGGCCAGGGCACCTCGTCCGTGCCGCACGACGCGGCGGCGACGGCGGGCGCGAGCAGGATCAGGCACGACAGGCGCGACATGCCGACCTCGACTCGGGCTTGTGGCAGTAAATATTCACGTTTACTGCAAGTTGCTGCTCGAGCAGGCTTTTAAAACAACCGGAGGGATGAAAACAACACAGGCGCCTACCTACGTCCGCGCGTCGTCGTCCGGGTTGATCGCGCCCGGACGCGGGTGATCCGGGTGGTCCACGTCGCCGATTTTGAGCGCGCCGTCGTCGCCGCGCGCCGTGCCCACGGCGACCGCGAGCCCCGCGGCGCCGCGCGCGCAGTCGGTCCCGCGGCCGCGCGCGCGCGGCGCGTCCGCGGCGAAGTAGCCGGGCGACACGGCGACGACGGTCGCGACTTCGCCGGCGTCCAGCCGCACCGCGCGGCGGCCGTCGACGCGGGACCCGCCGGCGACGTGCGCGACGCCAAAGGGCAGCGGGACGACCACGGGCCCGTCCTCGCCGACGGCGCGGACCGTCGTTTGCTCGCCGAGGACGAGCGCCGTCGACGCCGCGCGGGCGCCGAGCGCCGCGCAGCCCGCGCGGGGCCGCGCGTCGCGCGGCGCGACGACGGCGACGTCCGCGGCGCATGCCGCGACCTCGTCGCCGAGGGCCGCCGTCGCCGCGACGCGCAACGCCCCGCCGCCGTCGCGCGGCACCGCGAAGGACGCCCAGATCGACCGCCGTCGCCGCGCGCCGAGGCGGACGACGAACGCCCGCTCCTGGCGCCGCACGGCGAAGATGACGTCGTCCTCGTAGGGCGACGGCTCGAGGCCCGGCGCCTCCGCGCGGAACGTCACGGGACCGCGCAGCTCGACGACGAGGCTCTCGAAGATGGACTGGTCCGCGGCGACGGCGACGTCGACGCGCGCCGCCACGCGGTCGCCGCCGCGCACGCGTTTCGGCGCGTGCAGGCTGCAATTCACGCGCGCGCCGGCGGCGATCGGCAGCCAGCAAGAGAGCCAGCGCCATCTCATTCCAGCATCCAATTCATTCGGCCATGTAATCCCTTCACCTTCCCTGCATCGTCCTCATTGACTTTTTGCCCACGCGCTTGGCCGCCGCGAGCCTCGCAACTTGAGCCGCCGGCGCCGACGCTCCATCGCGCGCGTCGAAGCGTTCGCATGTCTCCGCTCCTAAAAACAATGCTGCGTGCTTTCGCCCTGCTCGCGCTCGCCGCATCGCTGCGGCCGACGGCGCGCGCGCCGGCGAGCGCGCCGGCCCGCGCGCATGCGAGCGCCGTCGGCCGGCGGGACCTGGTCGCCGCCGGCGTCGGCGCGCTCGCGAGCCTGACCGCGGCGCCGGCGCTCGCCGACGGCTACGGCGGCAACGCGACGGAATTCGACGCGGCCGCGTATTTCGGCATCTTCTCTTGCGAGGGCTGGGGCCAGCAGAGAATGCCGGGGAGCAACAGCTGCATGCCCAAGCCCAAGTCCTAAGTTCGCCGAGCGGTGGCGCGAGCGGTGGCGTCGCGCTTGCGCCCGCGGCGGCGTCGCGCTCGCGCCCGCGGCGGCGGCGGGCGCGGACGCTCGGGCGCGCGCGCGGCCGGGTACTAAACACGACGTCTCGATCGGAACTAGCCAATGCTCCCGCCGCCTGGACGTTTTCAGGCTTGAGGCTGCGCAGACCGGCGAGAATGGAGTGCCTCCACTTCAAACTTGCAGCGACGATGAAGTCGACGTCGTCGCTCAAGAATTCTCATTTGAGCTTTGCCAAGCCTTTGGGCTGCCCGACGATGGCGACCCAGGTCGAGCTCGCCCATGAAGACAGCGTCGCCGCGTTCTACAAAATTCAAAACTGCGACGAGAACGGCGAGTACCGCGCCAACAAGTACAACCGGACCCTCGGCACGGCCTTCCTGCCCCCGGCAGCCCACGTGCCCGCGCTCCCCGCGACGGCGCCGCTCGACGACCTCGTCGCCGCCGTCGCCGCGCACGGCGCCGTCGTCCTCAAGGGCGCGATCCCCGTCGGCGACGTCGCCGCGTTCCGCGCCGCGCACGACGCCGCGCTCGCCGAGCTGAAGCCGCTCAAGGACGAGCTCTACGCGCGGCGCGCGGCCGCGGAGCGGCGCGGCGAGGCGAGCGAGTCCTTCTACAAGGGCGAGCTCCGCGCGCCGTCGGGCCTGCGGCTGCGCACGACGGCCCGCGGCCGCTTCGACCTGAAGCACCTTGACCGCCGCGACGGGCCCGGCGGCCCGCTCGCGGCCGCGGTCGAGCCGCTCGTGCTGCCGCCCGCGTGCCGCGCGCTGCTCCAGCGCCTGATGGCGACGCCCTGGCGCGTGAAGACCGTCGGGTCCCTGCCGACGGACGCGGGCGCGTCGGGCGGCGAGTGGCACCGGGACATCGGCGAGGGCCCGTGTGGAAATCAACCACTGGTTTGGGGGGTCCCCACCAAACTTCAGAACTCTCTACCTCGATCAAATCGAAGTCGATTCGGCTGATTTTTGGACGAATCGATTGCTCTCATCGAGTTCTCGAAGCACAGCAGAAAGCCTTGCGTCGAAACGGTCGCATAAGCTCACATTGAAGTCGGGTTGAAGATTTGATTTCCACACAGGCGAGGGCCTCTGGGGCGAGGAGCTCGACCTGCGCCTGCCCGACTACTACTTCAACGCGCTCGTGCCCCTGGGCGCGGCCTCGCCCGAGGCGGGCACGGAGATCCTGCTCGGCTCCCACGCGGTCGGCCGGGACGGCGTCGCGGACCTCGCGCGGGCCGTCGCGGCCGCCGGCGCGGGCGACGTCGTCTTCTTCAACGGCAAGTGCGTCCACCGGGGCCGCCCGAACGCCGCGGAGGCGCGGCGCGACCTCGCCTACGTCGTCTACGCGGCGAAGTGGTTCGAGCAGGGCCGCGACCCGGCCGCGGAGCTCCCGGCCTACGCGTCGACCGCGCCGCCCTAGGGGGAGCAAGGCCGTCTCCCCCTAGGCGCCTTACCATCGGAGCGACGCGCAGTGGCCGGGGTCCGGCGGCGCGGGCGCCTCGACGTAGGCCGACGGGTAGCCGAAGCACCGGTAGTCCTGGCCGAGGCGCGCGAGGACGAGCCGCCGCGTCTCGTTCGAGAGGCAGCCCGCGTCCGCGCGGCCCCCTTGGACGAGGCCGGCCTTCTTCGCCACCTTGGCGCTCCGCGCGCGCTTCTGCACAAGGAGGCTGCCCAGCGCGGGCGCGTCGCGCACGTACGCCTCCGGGTCGTCGAGCGCGACGGCGAGCAGCGCGAGGAACGACGCGCGGAGCGTCTCCAGGCGGCCGACGAAGGCGACGTGGGGCCGCACGCTCACCGCGCGCGACTGCGAGTGGACGTGGTACGAAACGGCGTCGGTGAGGCGCGCCGGGTCGAAGGCGAGCGGGAGCACGTCGCGCACGAAGGCCTCGAAGCGCGCCTGGCTGCCCTCCTTCTCGAGCTTGTAGGGCTGGCGGCAGTGCCAGCCCGGCCCCGAGTCCCGCTCCCGCTCGTGGCCGCAGTGCGCGTTCTTCCGCTCGTCGATCTCGTGGTAGCCCGAGACGAGGCGCGAGAAGGGCTCCTCGACGAAGGTGAAGACGACGACGCGCCGGATGCCGCGCACGACGTCGTGCGTGTCCCGGCCGAGCTCTTTCTGGCGCGCGGCGAGCGCGGACATGAGGTCGCCGAGGAGCCGGCTCCCGGACTTGCGGATCATGAGGTAGCTCAGCAGCGTGCCGTTGACGACGACGTGGCTCAGCAGGCCCTCGCGCGCCATGGACATGGGCGCGAGGTGCGCGTTCTCCGCGGCGACGAGCGGGATCGCCGGGTCGCGGAGCTCGGCGGCCGACAGGTTCGCGCGCCAGCCCTGGGCCTCGCGGCAGCCGGGCATGCGCTCGCGGAAGTCGCAGGTGAGCCGCGGCCGCGGGTCGCGCGGGTCGTCGCCGCGCGCGTCGACGCGCGACGCCGGCGGGCAGAGCTCCGTGAGGTTGCTTATCCAGGCCGCCTCGACGCCCTCGGCGACCTCGCCCCCTTTCATGAACGTTCTCAACCGTCTTTGGTCATCGAAGGCTCCGCCGGCCGGAGGCGCGACGACGACCAGCAGGAGGAGCAGCGCGCGCATCGATTGTGTGTCATCCAGCTCGCCGGGGCAGCCTCTAATAAAAAAAGCAGTGTTCGTTCAACAAAAAGGATGAAGCTGAGTCAGACGAAAGCGAGATAGATCACAAAAATAGTATTCCCAATGTAGCCTAACTTACAATAGTAGCCTCGTGTGTCTCAGGATACTTTTTGGGGCGAGGCCGGGCCCGCATTGTGCGCAATGCAGGATGGTGTGGACGGGGCTCCGCCCGCGGTCGTGGACGACGCGAGCGATGGCGAGCCGGAGCAGACCACGCCACAGCCGCCTCCAGCGCCCCCGAATCCCAGGGCCAGGCGTTCCCTTGCGCACATGAGCGACGAAGAGCTCATGGCAGCGATCCAAGCGCAGGCCGCGCGGGCTCTTGCGCTCCACCAGCAGGCGTCGGCGATGCGACAGGAGGGACAGGACTACGCCGAGCTGATCCACGAGGAAACCGGCACCCGAGTCGTCCTGCCTCCCGCGATCGAGGACCCGATTCCGCCGCCGCCGGCGATCGCGCAGCAGTGCGTCGACGCCGCCGCCGCGGAGTTGGGCATCGGCGAGAACGACATGGACGAGCACGACGATGGTCGATGAGATCGGCGTCCTACGATCGGTGTGATACTCTCGGCGCGGCGCCCGGCTCGAAGCGCAGCTTCCCAGCGCGCGCGCGCGTCTCCCTGCTCCCCTCTGTTTGATTGTCCGAGGCGGCGCGCGAGCGCCCCCGGAAGCCGAGTGCGACACTCGGACCTCCCTGCTGTGGTGTAATACTCTCGGCGCGGCGCCCGGCTCGAAGCGCAGCTTCCCAGCGCGCGCGCGCGTCTCCCTGCTCCCCTGTGTTTGATTGACCTCCCCTGTTCGCCGGCGGGATATGTTAGTGCTCTTTTTTGATTGCTCTCCCACGGCCGTCGAACAACGATGTGCCCATAAGAAATACCACAGGAAGTCACATTATGAGCGGGGTCGAATTGGGGGGTCTTCGAATTGGGAGGGGCCGGGGCCCCGGGCGGGCGGGGCGGCGCGCGCGCGGTCGCCGCCGGGCTCGCCGATGCCGCCCGGGAGGACGGCCGTCAGACGCGCTGGACGGGGTTGCCCGCCCAGTCGCCGTCGGGCTCGGCGACGATGCCCGGGAAGACGATCGCGCGGCCGAGCGTCTTGAGGCGCGTGCCGCGCGGCAGGTGCGTGCCCGGCAGCACCTGGGCCTGCCAGGCGTCGAGGGCCTCGCAGTGCTCGCCGACGGACGTGTCGCGGAACTTGAGGTGCATGTTCGAGAAGTCGTGGCCGTAGACGTGCGCGGAGAAGAGCGCGCCGGCGCCGTAGGACACGACGTCGGCCTCCGGGAGGGCCTGGACGACCTCGGGCTCGGGGAAGATGCGCACGTTGTCGCCGACCGTCGCCCCGAGGGCCCGGAGGTAGGCCCGCTGGGCCTCGAACAGGAACCGCGCGGGCTTCGGGAAGCCGGGCAGGCGGCCGACGACGAGCGTCGCGGCCCAGGCCACGTGGCGCGGCCCCCGGAGCGCGTGGGCGACGCCGTCGTCGCGCGCCTCGCCCAGGAGCACCTGCTTCGCGCCGACGTGGACGAGGCCGAAGAGAAACGCGCGGCCGACAGCGACGGCGGCGAACAAAACGACCAACACGCCGTCCGCCGCGAGCGCCGCGCCCGCGCCGAGCCAACCATTGAGGAGGCGCCCCGCGGCGACGCCCGGCGGCGCGAGCCCCGCCGCCGCCGCCGCGACGGCCGGCGGGCCCCAGGGGGCCCGCGCGACCGCGCGGAGGAGGACGTCGAGCGCCCACCACGACGGGACGACGTCCGCCGCGAGCAGGGTCACGTTGAGCAGCGCGAAGAGGGCGCCGCTGTAGCAATCCCACAAACGCTCGCGGCCGGCGAAGGCGAAGACCGGCCGCGGCTTCCACGCGAGGGACGCCGCGCCGTCGCCGTCGCCGAGCGCGACGCGGCCGTGCGGCACGCGGCGCCCGGGGCCGACGACGGCGCAGGAGCCCGTCGCCGCGCCGTCCTCGAGGGCCGCCCCGGGCATGAGCACGCTCAGCGGGCCGACGAAGCAGCCCTCGCCGACGGCGACGCCGTCGAGGTGCGCGACGCCGCGCCGCGCGTCGACGCGCGCGGCGAAGACCGCGACGCGCGCGGCCAGGTAGGAGAAGTCGCCGACGTCGACGAGCTCCAGGAGCGCGTGGTTGCCTAAAAGCTCGCTGAGGATGGCCCCGCGGGCGCCGACGCGCAGCCCCAGCGCGCGCCAGACCGCGTTCATCGCGCCGCTGTACTTGACGAGCCGCGACGCGGCCGCGTCCGCGGCGCGGCCCCAGGCGTCGACGACGGCGTGGCGCGCGACGAAGGACGGCGTCAGCGGGACCGTGCGCCGCAGCTGGGACCGGACGTCGCCGAGGAGCAGGCACCGCATAACCCGCGCGACCGCGACGGCGCCGACCGCGGGGCCCGACACCGCCCACGCGGCCGCGAGCGCCGCGAAGGAGACGAGCCCGTAGGTCAGCGGCGGCTTCGCCGCCAGGAGGAACACGGCGTGGACCAGCGGCGATATTGCGGCCGCGACGACGCACGGCCCGAGCAGCGCGAAGGACGCGAGCGGCGCGAGGTCGAGCAACAGGTCGCCCCGGCCGCGCGCGGCTTCGCCGCCGTCGCGGCGCGGGGGCGCGGGCACGCGGATCGTCGTGTCGCAGGCGCCCGGCGGCTTCTCCTCGCCGGGCCGCGGCCGCTCGACGCCGCGCGACGTCGCGTAGGAGCCCCGCGGCAGCGGCCCGTCGAGGCCCGCGCCCGCGCAGACGACGGCGCCGTCGCCGACGTGGGCGCCGGCCTTGGCGTCGGCGCAGCAGCCGAGCCGCGCGTGGCGGCCCACGTGGACGTGGCCCAGCGCGACGCGCGTCGGCGTCCGGAAGGAGAAGGGCGCGCAGCCCGCGCCGACCTCGAAGACCGCGCCGTCGCGGATTGTTAATAAGTCGAAGCCGCCGAAGGTGCCCAGGGGCTCCGTGCCCGAAAAGGTGACGTCGCGGCCGACGTCGGCGCCCAGCGCGCGCAGGTACGCGGCGACGCAGCCGTCCGGTAAAATGGCTAGCGCCGCGCCCCAGAGGTCGGGCCGCGACGCCGCGTGCGCGTTCGCCAGGAGCGCCGCGCGGTAGCCCGCCGACGACGTCCACGTCGGGAAGACGCCGGGCCGCTGGTGCCCCACGAGGAGCCACTTGCACAGCACGGCCGCCGCGTGGCAGCCCAAAGCCCAGAGGAAGACGTAGAGGCAGCCCGCCGCGGCGGCCTCAGCGCTGAAGGCGAGCGTGCGCCCCGGGGCGACGTCGCCGCCGACCCAGGCGCGCGCCGGCGCCGCGCGCGCGGGGAGGAGCACGTCGACGGCGACGAACGCGCGGAAGCGGACGAGCCGCTCGAGGAGCCGGAGCTTCGGGCCGAGCGCGAGGCGGCCCGGCGCGTAGCGCTCGCAGGCGTAGCAGGGCAGGAAGCCCAACAGCAGGAGCTGGGCGCCGAGGGCGTAGGACAGCAGCGTGAAGAGGAGCCGCGTCGACCGGCGCGCGTCGGCCTCGGGCGTCTCCCGCTTCTCCTTCGCCGGCGGCGCGGGCGCCGCCGCCGCCGCCGGCGCCTCGTCGGCGCAGGCGCCCGCGAGGTCCGCGAGGCAGCGGCCGTCGAGGACGTCGACGACCGTGAGCTCGGCGCCGAGCGCGTCCGACGCGCGCCGCGCGAGCGCCGCCGCTTCCAGCGAGTCGAGGTCCAGCGCCGCGACGCGCGTGGCGCCGTCCACGGCGGCCCCCGGCGGCGCGTGGTGCCTGACGGCCGCGACGAGGCGCGCCAGCGGCGTCGACGCCGCGACCGCCGCTTTAGGGCACGCGTCGACGACGTCGCCGAGCGTCGGCGCGCCGAGCACGTCCGCGACGCCCAGCGCCGCGCCCGTGGCCTGGTTCACGTCGCGGACGATGGCCATGACCTCCAGCGAGTCCAGGCCCAGCGCCGGCAGGGGCGTCGCCGCCGTGATGGCCCCGTCCGCGGCGCGCGAGTGCGCGTGGAAGATCCGCAACACGGCGTCGCCGACGTTCGCCGCGCCGTCGTGGAGGCTCGCGTCGACGCCCGCCCGGCCCCTCAGGCGCGCCGCGAGGCGGTCCAGGAGCGGCGACGCGCGGCGGGCCGCCGCCAGGTGGTCCTCGGCGAACGCGACGGCGGCGACGGCGTCGGCGCCGGGCCCCGGCGCGCGGAGCGACGCGGAGCGCCGCAGCGCGTCGTCGAGGAGCGCGCAGGCGTCGCCGGATTCCAGCGGCACGAAGGGCGCGCGCGGGGTCCCGCCGCCGCCGTCCCGGGCCTTGGCCGCCATGCCGAAGCCCGCCCAGGGCCCCCACTGCACGGACACGAGCGCGGCCGCGCGCGGCCCGTGCTTTCGCCGCCGCGACGCCGCGAGGGCGTCGAGGGCCGCCGACGCGGCGCCGTAGTCGCTCTGGCCCGCGTTGCCGAGGAGCGCCGTGATCGACGACAGGTAGACCTCGAGCGCGAGCGGCGGGCAGCCCTGCGCGTCGCGCGCGGCGTCGACGGCGGTCGCGAGGCGCAGCGCCCCGCCGAGCTTGGGGTCCAGCGCGCGCCGCAGCGTGTCCCGCGTGCGCGACCGCAGCGCGCCGTCGTCGACGACGCCCGCGCCGTGGACCAGGCCCCGGAGCTCGGGGCCGAAGCGCGCGGCGAAGCGCGCCACCGCGCCGCCGTCGCAGACGTCCAGGGCGACGACGTCCACCGTCGCCCGCTTTTCCTCCGCGGCGGCGAGCAGCGCCTCGCGCAGGGGCTCGTCGGCGGACCGCACGGCGCCGCTCCGGCTCAGCAGCACGACGCGCGTCGCGCCGCGGCGCACGAAATGCGCCGCGAGCGCGAGCCCCACGGCGCCCGTGCCGCCGGAGATGGCGACGGCGCCGCCGCGCACGAGGCGCGCGCAGGCGACGGCGCTCGGCTCGTCGTGGTCGCCGTCGTCGACGCGGACGACGCGCCGCGCGAGCACCGCGCCGCCGTCGTCGACGCGGACGTCGTCGTCGCGCCGCTCCGCGAGCACCTCGGCGGCGACGCGGCTCAGGGGCGCGCCCGCCGTGGCCTCGACGGCCCGCAGCGCCGTCGGCGCCGCCGCGAGCTCGCCCTCGCGCCGCGCGGACCGCAGCAGCCCGAGGAGCGCGCCGCCCGCCGCGGACGCGGCCGCGTCGTCGCCGAGGCCCGGCGGCGCCGTCGCCACGACGAAGCGCCGCGGCGCCCGCGACCGCGGCGCCACGAGGGCGACGCGCAGCGCCGCCTGGAGCTCGCCCGCGCGCGCGGCCGCGGCCTCGTACGCGACCGCCGCGGCCTCGACCGCGGCCGCCGCGGCCGCGTCCGTCGCGCGCTCGACGTCCGCGGGCGCGACGAGCCGCGTCGCCTCGCCGGCGGCGGCGCGCGCCGACACCGTCGCGCGCGTTCGCACGGCCGGCGCCGGCGGCCGGACGCCGCACGCGAAGACGACGACGTCCCACGACTGCGCGACGGCGGCGGCCGCGGACAGGGGCAGCTCGGACACGGACCGCGCGCCCGCGTCCCGCAGGGCCGCGGCGAGGGCCCGGCCGCCGTCGTCGTCGCCGCGGAGCACGAGCACGTGCGTCGCCCGGGGGAACGCGGGGTCCGCGGGCGCCCACGCGGTCGCGTAAGACGCCGGCACCGGGCCCCGCGCGTTCTCCTCGTCGTCGTCGTCGGACGACGTCACCGCGGGCGGGGGCGGCGCCGCCGGGGCCCGCGTCGCCTCGAACCAGCAGGGCTGGCCCGCGAAGGCCGTCGGCGGGAGCCGGGGCGCCGGTCGCCGCGCGACGGCGAGATCCGCGCCGAGCGCGTAGAGGCCGCCGAGGGCTTTCAGGACGGCGCGCGGCTCGCCGCCGGCGTCCCTGGCGCCGCCGAGCGTCGCGACGGCGGAGGCGCCGAGCGCGGCGACGTGGGGCGCGAGGTGCGCCGCGGGGCCGACCTCGACGACGACGGTGTCCGCGGCGTCCGCGTCGAGGCGCCGCAGCGCCGCCGCGAAGGCGACGGGCCGCCGCGCCTGGTCGACCCAGTAGTCCGCCGTCGGCGCGTCCGCGAGCCGCGCGCCCGTGAGCGTCGAGTAGACCGCGACGGCCGCCGGCGGCGTCGCCGGCGGCGCGGCCGCGCGGACCGCGGCGAGGCAGGGCTCCACGCAGGCGCTGTGGAAGCCCGTGGCCACGCGCAGGCGCGTCGACGCGACGCCGGCGGCGTCGAGGCGCGCGACGGCGGCGTCGACGGCGGCCGCCGCGCCGCCGAGCGAGCACCCGAGCGGCGAGTTGTCGCACGCGACGGGCGCGTCGTCGCCGAGGACCTCGCGCACGCGGTCGACGCCGGCGCGCACGGCGGCCATGGCGCCGACGCCGGGCGCCAGGGCGCCCATGGCCGCGCCGCGGCCGACGACGAGCCGCGCCGCGCCGTCGACCGAGAGGACGCCCGCGACGCAAAAGGCCGCGACCTCGCCGAGCGAGTGGCCGACGACGGCGTCGGGCGCCTCGCGGCCGAGCCTCGCGAGGAGACACCGCGCGAGGGCGTACTCGAAGCAGAAGAGCGCGGGCTGCGACGTCGCCGCGGCCGCGTCGTCCGCGGCGCCGACGACGGCGCCGCGCAGCGACGCGACGTCGCCGCCGTGCCGCCCCACGGCGTCGAGCGCCGCGTCGAAGGCCGCGGCGAAGGCCGCGTCGGCGCCGTAGAGCGCGCGCCCCATGCCCGCGTAGGCCGCGCCCTGGCCCGTGAAGGCGAGCGCGAGCCGCGGCGGCGCGCTCGCCGGCCCGCGGCAGGCCGCGGCGGCGGCCGCGAGCGCTTCGTTCGCATCGTCGTCGCGCGCGTCCAGGGCCGCGGCCGCGCGGTAGGGCCGCGCCCTGAGCGGGGCCGACCGCGCGGCCGCGGCCGCGAGGCGCGTGGGCGCGACGCGGCCGAGGCGCGCGGCCGTCTTCTCGAGCGCCTCGAGGCTGTGGGCGGCGAAGGGCACGAGGACCGGGCCCTCGGCCGGCGCCTCGCGCGCCGGCACCCGGGTCCGCCCGACGGCGACGTGGCCCAGCGCGCCGCCGAAGCCGAAGGACGACACGCCGACGGTCGCCGCGGCGTCGCCGGAGAACGCGTCGGGCAGCTGGAGCACGCGGACGCGCAGCGCGTCCCAGGGCACGTGGGCGTTGGGCCGGCAGAAGTGGAGCGACCGCGGCGCGATGTTGTCGGTGGACGCGACGACGAGCGCGGCCTTGAGCAAGCCCGCGAGGCCCGACACGCCCTCGAGGTGGCCGACGTTCGTCTTCGCGGAGCCGCACCTCAGCGTCGCGTCGCCGCCGAGCTTCGCGGACCCGAGGGCGCCGAGCTCGACGGGGTCGCCGAGCCGCGTGCCCGTGCCGTGCGCCTCGATCAGCGCGACGCCCCCGCGCGCGGCCGCCCCGTCGCCGGAGAAGTCGCCGTAGCACGCGTCGAGGACGCCGGCCTGGGCCGCCGGGTTCGGCGCCGTGAGGCCGTTGGACCGGCCGTCCTGGCCGACGCCGACGCCGCGGACGACCGCCGCGACGTCGCCGGCCGCGACGGGCCGCAAAAGCACCGCGCCGACGCCCTCGCCGCGCACGTAGCCGTCGGCCGCGTCGTCGCCGAAGCGGCAGCGGAAGCTCGGGCTCAGCATGCCCGCGGCGGCAAAGGCGCCGGACCAGTGGGGCTGCAGCTGCAGGTTCGCGCCGCCGACGAGCGCGGCGCCGCACTCGCGCCGCTCCACCGAATTCCGCGCGACCGCGACGCAGGTCAGGGAGCTGCTGCAGGCGCTGTTCAGCGCCACGGACGGGCCCCGCAGATCGAAGACGTAGGACACGCGGTTCGGCGCGACGCAGCCGTGCCAGCCCGTGCCGCAGTACGCGTCCGCCTCGGCGCGGCCCTCGTCGACGGCGCGCTGGTGCAAAAAGGCGTAGTCGCTCGTCTCGATGGCCGCGAAGACGCCCACGCTCGCGTCGCGCCCGCGAACCCCGCCGGGCGCCGCCGGCGTGCAGGGGAGCCCCGCGACCTCGAGCGCCTCCGCCGCGCACTCGAGGAAGAGGCGCTGCTGCGGGTCCGTCGCGGCCGCCTCCGCCGCGGAGACGCCGAAGGCCGCGCGGTCGAAGTTCCGCAGGGTGTCGCCGGCGAGGTAGGCGCCGGGGAGGCCCGTGTGGGGCCGGTCCGCGGGCGGCTCCGCGAGGACGCAGTCCGCCTCGGCGACGAACAGCGCCCAGAGCTCCTCCGGGAGGTCCGCGCGGCCGGGGAAGCGGCAGGCGGCGCCGGCGACGACGAGGTCCGCGCGCGCCTCCGGCGCGACGGCGCGGGGCCGCGGCACGGCGGCCTCGGGCGCGCCGCCGAGCCGCGCCGCGACGCCGTTCAACGTCACGGCCTCGTAGACGAGCGTCGGCGACAGGTCCTCGCCGAGCGCCTCGCCGAGCGCCGCGACGAGCTCGACGGCCTTGATGGACGTGAGCCCGAGGCTCGCGAGGGGCGCGTCGTCGTCGTCGGGCTCCTCGCCGAGGAGCTCGCGCAAAATCGCGCGCGCGGCGTCGAGCACGTCGCCCCTCGACCGCGGCCGCGCGGCGGACGCCGCGGCGGCGAACCCGGCGCAGAGCTCGCGGGCGAGGGGCTGGGCCTCGGCCCGCGACGCGGCGTAGGCGCGCCAGTCCGCGGGGACGACCGCCGCGTGGCACTCGGTCCGCCGCCGCGAGCCCGCGAGGTCCGCGAGGACCGCGAGCCCGGCCTGTAGCGGCACGAAGCCGAAGCCCGCGCGCTCGCGCGCCGCGCGGAAGCCACCGCCGAAGCGGTGCGCCATGCCCGCGTCGGCCCAGGTGCCCCAGGACACCGCGAGCGCGGGCAGGCCCGCGCGCGCGCGCGCGGCGGCGAGGCCGTCCTGGAACGCGTTCGCGGCCGCGTAGTGGGGCAGCCGCGGCGCGCCGAGCAGGCCGTAGACGCTCGAGAAGAGGACAAAGGTCGCGACGTCGTGGGCGAGCGACGCGTCGTGCAGGCGCATGGACCCGTCGACTTTCGCGCGGAGCACGTCGTCGAAGTCGCCCCAGGCGACGTCGCCGGCCGCGGCGTCGCCGACGACGCCCGCGAGGTGCCAGACGTGCAGGGGCTCGCCGTCGGCCCGGAGGCCCGCCGCGCGGTCGAGGAGCGCGGCCGCGTCCGCTTCGAGGGACACGTCCGCGCGTTCGAAGACGACGCGCGCGCCCGTCGCCGCCGCCAGGTCGTCGAGCCGCTTCTCGAGGGCCGGCGCCGGCGGGCGTCGGCTCGCGAGGACGAGCGTCGCGGCGTCGCCGCCGGCCCGGGCGAGGAACTCGGCCCACGCGGCGCCGAGGCCGCCGGCGCCGCCGGTGACGACGTGGACGCCCCGCGCGACGTCGCGCCCCTCGGGCCGCGCGGCGCGCGCGACGAGCGCCGGCGCGAGGCGCCGCCGCCGCCGGTAGGCCGCCTCGCCCCCGCCGCCCGCCCCGAGCTCCGCGAGGACGGCCGCCGCGTCGGCGTCCGCGTCGGCCTCGCAGGGGCAGAGGTCCGCGAGGCGCGCGGGCGCCTCGAGCTCCTCGGCGGCGCTGCGCACGAGGCCCCAGACCGCGGACCCGGCCAGGGCCGGGGACGGCTTCGCCGCGGGGACGCCGTCGAGGGCCGCGTCGTCCGCGGCGCCGCGCGTCGCGACGACGAGCTCGAGGTTCCTTCCCGCGACCGCCTGGACGACCGCGAGCGTCGCGAGGAGCGCGCCCTTCGTCGCGCGGGCGACGGCGTCCGCGCCGTCGTCGACGTCCGCGGCGGCGCTCGGGCGGAGCGCGGCGAGGGACGCGACGCCGGCCCACGCCGGCCGCGCCGCGAGCGCGGCTTCGACCGCGGCGCGCGCGGCGTCGAGGGGCGCCGCGGGGAGGTCCAGCACGTCCGCGGCGGCGCCGTCCGCCTCGAGCTGCCGTCGCAACGCCGCCGCGACGCCGCGGCCGTCGTCGACGAGGAGCCAGGGGCCCGGTGTTCTCTCGTTCTTTGCGAGCGGCGCGTCCCGCCAGCGGACGTCGTAGACGTGCTCGCCCAGGGCGTCCTTCTCCTTCGCCGCCGCGGCGTCGACGCGCCGCTGCGCCGCGCGCTTCTTCAGCTCGGCCTTGGCGACCTTGCCCGAGCCCGTCATGGGCAGGTCCGCCCGGGCCATAAATTCGACGACCGCGGGCACCTTGAAGTCCGCGAGCTTGCGCGCGCAGTGGCGCCGGAGGTCCGCGGCCGCGACGGCGTCGTCGGCGCGGACGACGACGGCGAAGACGCGCTCGCCCAGGGCGCCGTCGGGGACGCCGAAGACGGACGCGAGGACGACGCCCGGGTGGTCGTGGAGCACGCGCTCGACCTCGACGCAGTAGACGTTCTCCGAGCCCACGAGGATCATGTCCTTGGCGCGGTCCGTGATCGTCAGGTAGCCGTGGGCGTCCACCGTCGCGAGGTCGCCCGTGCGGAACCGGCCGTCGAGCTTCTCCCGGCCCTCGTAGCCCGCGAAGACCGTCGGCCCTTTGATCGCGACCTCGCCGACGCCGCCCTTCTCGTCGACGAGTTCGACGTCCACGAGGGAGAAGGGCCGCCCGCTCGAGCAGACGAGGTCCAGCGTCGCCGCCGGGCCGACGCGGTCGCGCGTCGGCCCGTCGACGAGCGACGTCGAGATCTTGCCGCAGCACTCCGTCATGCCGTAGGACAGGAAGAACTCGCAGCGGAAGGTGTTGAGCGCGTCGAGGACCGTCGCCCGCGACAGGGGCGCGCCGCCGCAGGAGAGGAGCTCGAGGGACGACCAGTCCGCGGCTTTGACGGTCGCGTCGGCGAGGAGCAGCGTGACCATCGTAGAGGCGAGGTTCGACGCGGTCACTTTGCGCTCCGCGACGGCGTCCCCGACGCCGCTCCCGGAGAAGCCCGGGATGGCGACGTGCCGGCCGCCGACCCAGGTCACGGCGAAGATGGCGTAGGCGTCGACGAGGTGGAACATGGGCGCCGCGTGGAGCCAGACGTCGCCGCGCTGGAGGCGGTGCTCGACGGCGCAGCCGAGCGCGTGCAGCAGCACGTTCCGCCGGCTCAGCACGACGCCCTTGGGCCGCCCGCTCGTGCCCGACGTGTAGTACATCTCCGCGCCCGCGGCGCCGTCGTCGAGAAACGCCGCGCGCGCGGCGGCGGCGCCGGACGCCGCGGCCTCGTAGCGCTCCGAGAGCGCGAACGTCGCCGGCGCGCCGTCGGCGCCGGCCCAGAGCGCCGCGCGCACGTCGAGCGGCCGCTCGGCCCGGGCGGCGTCGACGAGGGCCTCGTGGCGGGCGTCGACGACGAGCGCCGCGCAGGCCGCGCCCGGGGCAGTACGCGAGCTCGTCGCCGGAGAGCCGCGGGTTCAGATTCAGCGCGACGAGGCCCGCCCAGCCGGCGACGGCGTAGTGGGCCTCGAGCGCGACGGCGCCGTTGGGCGCCAGGAGCCCGACGCGCGCGCCGGGTCGCAGGGACGCGGCGCGGAGGAACCAGGCGCCGACGCGCGCGGCGCGCGCCGCGGTCTCCGCGTAGGTGCGTTCCGTCTTCGCGCCGAGGTCCGCGACGGCCCAGCCGTCGGGCCGCAGCGCGAGCGCGGCTTCCAGCGGCGCCCAGAGGTCGCCGCCGGCGTCGGGTGCCGCGAGCGTCGCCGTGAGCAGCGCGGAGGCCGCGGCGGTGTCGCCTGCGCGCGGCGGCGCCAACGCGCTGGCATGGTCGTCGAGCTGCGTCGACGAGCTGGCTTGCCCACTCTGGGACCAGAGCTCCGCTTGCCGCTCCGCGCTGGAGCGGGCGGGCAGCGACAGGCTTCTGGGCGCCATCGTGGGGCAGCGTTTAGTTGAGAATTGTGTGATGTCATCATTTATTGCATGCAAGTTGGCCGCTATCAAAAAGTTTGGACGCGGGGCTGGAAAGACCCGGCCGCAGTCGGCGGCGCGTTGCCTCGGCCGCGCCAGCCATGGCCTTACTTTGTACGGCTGCTGAACGCGGAGACATCGACGCGTTGCGCGCGTTGGTGGCGCGGGGTGCCGACGTGAATTTAGCGCAGGGCGCGGCACTGAGGCGGGCCGCAATGTATAATCAGACAGCAGCCGCGCAATTTCTGCTCGATCACGGGGCCGACGTCAACGCTGCAGGAATCGGCGATCGGGACGGGATTACCGCGCTTCACTTAGCGCGTTTGGCCAGCACGAGGTCATGGCCGTTTTGCTCGCGGCCGGCGCGAACGTCCACGCGCGCTCGGACGATGGGCTCCCTTGGCATACACTCTTGACAGAAGGTCGAACATCAAGTGCTGCGCGCTTCTCCTCGCCGCCGGGGCGGACGTCGACGATTGCGGCGAGGACTACACGCCCCTCTTCTGCGCAATTGAGGAGGGGCGCCGCGACATCGTCAAGATGCTTCTCCGCGCCGGCGCAAAAGAGATCGCCGCCGCCGACCTTCCGGACCGTGATTTCGACCGTGATTCCGACCATGATTTCGACCGCCACCGCCCACGAAACGAGCACCTAGTTCCCGCTCCAGGCTTTGATGCCGCCTTCGAAACGGTGGACGCCATCCACGCCGCGGGCGGCTGGGCGGAGTATGTCAAAGCGCACCGCCGCGTGCTCTCGAGCTTTGTCTCCAAGCTCGCCTCCCCAAAGCCCCGCAAGGGGCCGCGGCCCGTGCGCCAGAGCTACTATCAAGTGCCCGCGGCGCGCCCCTCCTCCGTGGCCCGCCCCATCCCCCTCAACGCCGCGAGCCTCGTCGTCGCCTTCTGGTGTCCGCCGGGCGGTTACTAAAAAATTTAGGGTGCCGCGGGCGGGCAGCCCAGGAACGCGCCGATGCCCGCGAGGACGTCGGGCTGGTGGCGGACCTTGGCCGCGAGCTCCGGGTTGACCCGGGCGTTGGCGGCGACGTGGGCGCAGCCCGCGTCCCGGAACAACGTCCAGTCGCACTGGAGCGGGCAGTTGATGGGCTGGCCGACGAAGCCCGCGTAGCCCGTCGCCGGGAACGGCGACGGCGCCGCGTCCGCGAGGAAGGACCCGCGCTCCGCGGCCGAGTGGTGGCAGACGTTCTTCGCGTTGCACAGGGGCCGCACGACGCGCTCCAAAAAGTCCATGTCGTCGCCGTAGCCGAAGGGCCGGCCGAGGCCGTTGACGAACGCGACCATCTTCTCGTAGATCCGCGGCACCGGCGGCGCGCGGCCCGACGCGCGCGCGCCCCACATGCCGCCGAGCATGCGCGTCGCGTCGTGGGGCTTTTCGTGGAGCACGTGGAACTGGCGGCCGGAGTCGAGCCAGGCGCGGACGGCCGCGGCGTCGCGCGGGTTCAGCCGGCTGTCCGCGTCCCTAACCGCGACGGCCTCGACGCCGGCGTCGCCGCAGGGCAGGAAGCGCAGCAGCATGAGCTGCGCCTCGCGGCACTTGCTGGAGACGAGCCGGAGCTCGGCGCCCGCCGCCGTCAGCGCCGCGCAGGTCTCCTCGGGCACGTCGCCGGGGGTGCAGTAGACGACGCACTTCCAGTCCGGGAGCAACGCCTTCGCCAAATGCGCGTTCTGCACCGCGCCCGCGCAGTAGATGGGCTTGGCGCCGTAGAGGCAGAAGGATAACACTTTCCGCTTGAGCACGGTGGCCCGCGGCTTGACGACGGGCCCCAGGAGGAGCGCGAGGTTGTCGGGCCAGGCCGCGGGCGGCGGCGGCGGCTTCGGCGGCGGCGCGCCGACGACGGCCGACGCGCGCGTCGCGGCGGCCTCGGGGGGCGCGTCGGCGTAGATGCCGCCCTTGGGCGGCGCGACGAAGGGCGTGCCGTCGTCGCGCTCCTCCTGGTCGTCGGGCTCGTCGTCCGTCTCCTCCGCCGCGTCGCTCTCAGACGCGTCGCCGCCGTCGTCGATGCCCGGCACCTCGTTGACGCGCTCCTCGGCCTCGGCGAGGCGCGCGGCGACGGACGCCACGTAGGGCGCGAGCTCGGCGCGGCTCCTCGCGCAGTAGTCGCCCGCGTCGCCCGCGAGCCGCTTCCGGCTCTCCGCGAGGTCGACGACGACCTTCTTGAGTTGTCTTACCGCGCGCTCCTCGTCGTCGTCGCTGTCGCTGTCGAGCTCGCCGGCCTCCCGCGCCGCGAACTCGACCGCGGCCTGCTCCACGAGGCGCGACGCCGACGCCATGGTCTCCTCGGCCTGGATGGCCAGCTCGAGCACGTCCACCGTGGACTTGCAGCGCCGCTCCTCGCCCGCGAGCGCCTCGCCGTCGAAGACGCTGCGCTCCATCACGTCCCGGAGCTCGGAGAGGGCGCGCTCGTCCACGGTCTATGAATTACGGCGTACGACGCCCCAGTGGCGCCTCTGCCTCTCGACTTTGCCGCTCCCAAGTCCGAGAGCCGATGTTTCATGAAGGGTTCAGTCAATCGCGCCGCGTCCAGAGGGGGCAGCCGCGCGGCGTCTCGTCCGCAAGCGCCGCGCTTTCCCCCCGTCCGCCGCCGTCGCCGCGGAGCGCGCGCGCGTCGTCCGCAGGCCGCGCCGCCGGCGGCGGCCCCGCGCGGCGCGGGGGCCGCCGGAAGCCGCGGGACCGCTACCGCGCGAACGCGTTCGCGAGGGGGTCGTCGCTCTTCTTCTTCTTCTTCGCCTGGGGCTTGGGCGCGCCGGGCGCCGGGGGCCGCTTCACGGGCTTGGCCCCGGGGGGCGGCGGCATGGGCGCGCGCTTCACCGGCCGCGGCTTGTCGCTGTTCTCGGTCTCGGACCGGGGCCGCTTCTCGCCCGCGCCCGGCGACGACGGCGCCGCCGACGACGACGCGGCCGCCTCCTCCTTGGGGGACGCGGGCGCCTCCTTCGGGGGCGCGCCCTCCGCCGCTTTCTCCTCCTTGGGGGGGTTCTCCTCTTTGGGGGGCTTCTCCTCTTTGGGCGCCTCCTCGGCCTTGGGCGCCTCCTCGGCCTTGGGCGCCTCCTCGGCCTTGGGCGCCTCCTCGGCCTTGGGCGCCTCCTCGGCCTTGGGCGCCTCCTCCTTGGGCGCCTTGGGCGCCTCCTCCTTGGGCGCCTTGGGTGCCTCCTCCTTGGGCGCCTCCTCCTTGGGCGCCTTGGGCGCGTCGGCGGCCTCGGGCGCGTCGGCCTTGGCCGCGGCCTTGGCCTTGTCGCGGTCCTGCTTCTCCGCGTGGGCCGCCTTGAGCTTGGCCTTGAGGCGCTTGAGCTTGTCGACGGTCTTGGCGTCCGTGGACGGGTCGCGCGATGCCTCCTTGATGAGGCCCACGAGGTCTGCGAGGAGCGCGCCGTCGGCGACGATCGCGTCGACCTTCTCGTTGAAGATCTTCAGGAGCGCGACGGCCGCGACGCGCGGGTTCTTCTTCGCGCCGACGACGGCCGTCCGCAGGGCCGCGACGAGGCCCGCGGCGTCCTCGGGCACGTGGACGGGCACGGCCTTGGGCGGCGGCGGCCGCGGCGCGGGCGCGGGCGCGGGCTTGGACGCCGACGCGCCGACGGGCGCCGCGGACGCCTTCGCGTCGGCCATCTGCTTCCAGACGGGCACGCCCGACGCCCGCGACGCCTTGAGCCGCTCCTCGCGCTGGGCCTCGCGGGCCTCGTCCTCCTCCTTCTTCGCGCGGCGCCGCGCGGCCGCGTCCTCGAGCTTCCGCTTCCGGTCCTCCTTCGACGGCGGCGGCGCGGCGACGGACGGCCGCAGGGGGTCGGCCTTGGGCGGCGCCTTCTTCTTCGGCGGGTCGCCGTTCTTCCGCAGGCGGCCGCCGCCCGCGGCCTTCTTCTTCGCGGCCTGCTTCCGGAGCGCGACCACGTCGTCGTCGCCGTCGCTGCCCGCGCCCGCGGACTCGTCGTCGGACGGCGCGCGCGCGCCGTCGTTGAGGAAGTCGTCGTCGTCGGCGTCGGACGCGGCGCGCTTGGACGCCTTGGGCGCGGCCTTCTTCTTCGGGGCCTTTTTCGCCGCGGCGTGGATGCCGCAGCCGTTGCGGAGCGCCTTGTCCTTGGCGACCTCCTCCCGGGCCTCGGCGACCGCTTTCGGGAAGGCGAGCTCGTAGCGCTTGGGCTTGAACTCCTTGGCCTGCTTGTCCAGGCCCCGTTTCAGGCCCTCGTCCCAGGGTACGACGTTCTTGGTGGTCTCGAAGGTGAACCGCTCCGACGCGTCCATGCCGTAGAAGACGCAGCAGTGGCGCTTGCCCAGGTGCTTCATGGCCTGGGCGTTGATCGCGCCCTTGGTCCAGCGCGGGTCGTAGATGATCGACGGCCAGTGCTTGAAGCCCTGCGACGCGACCCAGCAGACCTCGCCGAACAACGCCGTCCACTTGCCGTCGAGCGCCTCGACGCGCGCGTCGTCCTTGTGGGGCGCGCGCTCGCGCCGCGCGAGCTCGTCGTCGTCGACGGACTCGTTGTCGTCGCCGCCGTCGTCGCCGTCGTCGTCCTCTTTGTCGGACTCGTCGTTGTCGATGTCCTCGACGCCCTCGGGCTCGGCCTCGGCCGCGGGCGCCGGCGGCGCCTGGTACTTGGCCGCCGTCTCGATCATCGCCGCCGTGAGCACGGCCTTGTACTCGCTCTTCAGCCGGGCGCCGCCGTCGGCCTCCTTGAGGTGCGCCGCGACGGCCGTGCGCACCATCTTCGCCGTCAGCGTGCCGTCCGCCGCCGCGGCCTGGAGCGGCGCGTCGCTCGCCATGACCGCCTCGACGGCGGACGTGACGATGTCGGCCGACAACGGAGCGGGCGCCGCGGCGTCGCTCATGGTGGCGACGCGCGCGGCGGGACGACGCTGTGGTCGTCGGCGGCGCCTCTCGCGATGCGCCCGCGCCGCTCGCAGGCGCGCGGCGCCCGACCGTGTGACACCGTCTGGCAGTCCTCCGGAGGACGCCTCGCAGGTCTCCGCGGACGACGTCGCCGCCAACGCGCGCTGCGCGTGACGAAACGAAACGCAACGAAACGCAACGAAGGAAAGACGACGGCGCTAACGACGGCCGCGCGTCGACACGACGCGCGCTCAGCCGTAGTGCTCCAGGCCCGTGTTGCCCGCGGCGTCCTTGAGCGCGTCCTCGAGGATGTTGACCATCATGTAGAGGTCGAAGTCGGCGAGCATGTGCGTGAATTTGTCGTAGATCTCCTTCTGCTCGTCGTCGAGCGTGTACGCGTTGCGGAGGATCTGCTTGCAGGTCTCGCTGACCTCCTCGCCGTCGTCCTCGTCGAGGCCGTCGATGGTCGCGCGGCCGTCGCGCGTCGCCGGCCGCGCCTTGGCGGGCGACTCGGCGCCGGCCTTCTTCCGCGACCGGGGCGCGGACTGCGGCCGCTTCTCCGTCGCGAACGGCGGCGGGTTCCGGAGCGTCCGCGGCGTCCGGTTGTCGACGACGGAGCCCTTGCCCTTGCGCGCGGCCATGACGGCGTGCATGCGCCGCGTGTGGTGGACGTAGTTGTACTCGCTCTCGACGGCGCTGAGAGGCAGGTCCTTCCAGGACTTTTTCAGGTCGAAGAGCTCCTGTTTGGGGTTGTGGTGGGGCATCTTCAGCTTCGCCGTGTTCTTGGGCATGATGGGGATCTTCATCGCCATGGTACAAACGTGGGGCGGCGCGCCCGGGAGCGGCGCGCGAGGACTGGGGCGAGCGCACCGCGGACGACGGGCCGGCGCGCTAGCTACGGGCTGCCGCGTTTGATTGGGGTGCTAGCTAGGCCGACGGTGGCGGCACGGTGCGGCGGTTGAAAAGGGGGGCAGCAGCATGGACGACGACCGGCCCGGCGCGCGCGTGACTTTGCCGCCCATCGACGAGGTCGAGGTGCCGTCGATCATCCTCATCGAGCGGGCCTACCAGCGGTCGCTCCACGACGTCATCTGCCGCAAGGACATGTTCCGCATCTGGCAGAAGGTCGGCGCGGCCTGCGCGGCGACCATGCTCCAGGGCAAGGGCGTGCGCTTCCCGGGCATCGCCGACCTGACCTTCGACGTCAAGGGCCTGCCCATGTACAGCCTCGAGCGCGACATGAACGTGCTGCTGAAGCAGTTCGGGAGCGGCCACGGCGTCAAGTGGGAGCCCGCGCACAAGTTCTTCCCGTGCCGCGAGGCGTCGCTGCTCGCGACGCTGCCCCTCGAGTCCGTGGCGAAATCGCTGAACGCGCGGCGGGCGAAGAAGGACCGGGCGCGGCGCGCCGCGGGCGTCGTCGAGCCGCCGAACAAGCACAAGCGGACCTTCGACCGCGCCGTCGTGGGCATGGTCGTGCACCGGATCTTCAGCGAGATGATCCGCGCCGCGCGCATGTCGACGATTTCCCTCGCGCTGACGCTCGACGACGTCGGCGAGTTCGTCTACTACAGCGGGCCCTCCGGCGACGGCCTGGGCGCGCGGGGCTACCTCGGCGTCCGCTTCCGTTTGGACTTTCTCGCCGCGCTGCGGCGACAGCAAACGCGGGAGATGATCGAGCACCCGAAGACGCGCTGGGCGTCGGCGCAGGCCGATGGCATGCCCTACGTGCGCGAGTTCCTCGACCCCTCCGTCGTCGAGCCGAAGAAGCTGCTCGCGGCGCCGGGCATGGGCGAGTTGTACGTCAAGGGCGACGGCACGCTCGCGGGCCGCAACGCGATCAAGACCATCAAGTTCCGGCTCGTGGAGCGCTGCGGCATCGTCGGGCTCCACACCTTCGTCAAGGCCCTGAGCTCCATGGACGAGAGCGGCGACGGCGTCTACGACGCGGAGGAGCTCCGCTGGGGCCTCCGCGAGTTCGGCATCTCCGTGAGCGAGGACGACTGCCTCGCGCTCGTGCAGATGTTCGACGAGGACGGCGGCGGCACGCTCAGCTTGGACGAATTGATGGTCGCGATCCGCGAGGGCGCCATGCCGCCGAACCGCGTCGCGATGGTCCGCCGCGTCTTCCACATGCTCTGCCGCGACGCGGGCCTGCCGTGCGCGGACGGCGTCGAGATCACGACGGACCGCATCCGCCAGCGCTTCGACCCCTTCGGGGACGAGCGCGTCGAGCGGGGCGACCCGAACTGGCCGCCCAAGGACGTGACGAACAACTTCTTCGCGGTCCTCGACGACTCGGGCGACGGCCAGGTGTCCGACGCGGAGTTCATGCGCATGTACGAGAACATCTCGCCGGCCGTCGAGGACGACGGCGACTTCAAGCGCATGCTCGACAAGTTCTGGCCAGCGTCCCGTGGCCGTGACGATTTTCGAGAGATTTGGGGCGGGAAAACGATGAAACATCGTCACCGTCGTGCTTCGTAGGTTCTGGCCGCCCCTGGGCGACCTGGAGATGGGCGGCCGCGTCCGCGGCGCGTTCTCCCGCGGCCACGCGGGCTACGGGTTCACGGGAGACCAAGCCGGCGCGGGCTACGAGGACGCGGCGCCGGCGCTGCGGGCGACGGACGAGCGCGACGTCTACCTCGACGGCATCCTGGACATGGCCGACGCGGAGAAGCAGGGCGGCATCAACAAGCGGCTCGACAAGATCCTCGACGACTCGGCGAAGATGAAGCGCAAGGCGCGGCCGCCGCCCTTCTCGCACCATCGCGACGACGCCGTCGACGAGGGCGTCGACACCTTCGACGAGGCGCCGCCGAGGAACCACCTGCTCCCGCCGAAGGCGGCGGACGGGACGACGCCGATGCAGGACGCGGCGACGAAGCGCGCCGCCGCGGCCGCCGCCAAGGAGAACGCGCGCGCGCGGTCCGAGAACGCGCGCGCAAAGTCCCAGGCGTCCCTGCCCCGGCCCGCCGCCGCCGGCCGCGGGGACCCGGGCGTCGCCAAGGCGAAATTCAAGGCCGCCGCGCGGCTCGCGGCCAAGGGCGCCCACGCGCACGGCGCGCCCAAGACGAAGACGGTCCAGGGCCCGCCGGGCGTCGCCATCTCGACGCCGACGGGCCGCGACCGGCGCAAGTCAGGGTGGGGCCAGGGCCACTTCGACACATTCGAGAAGCACCACCACCTCTAGTCGAGTAAGCACCACCACCTCGAGCCGGCGTAATCGAAGCACCAGGTGCCTCTCGTGCCCCTCCCCGCGCATCGCCCGAGCGCTCGCGCCGAGTCGCTCTTGCCGCCGCGCGGAGAAGCCCCGCCACGTTAGGCGCGCGCGGCTCACTCGCTGCCGTACATCTCGGCGTAGAGCTCGCGCTGGGGCATGTTCGTGAAGATCTCGGCGATGGCCCGGGACACGGGCAGGCCCCGGTCGACGCGCTTCGCGTACTCGGCCTCGAACGTCGCGACGAAGTCCCTCTGGCTCACGGTCTCCGCGTGCGCGAAGAGCTTGGCGATGCGGCGCGCGCCGGCGCGCGCCTGGCGCGCGGACCAGTCCCACTCGCGGCTCGCGCCCGTGAGCTTGGCGCCCTTGGCGTCCGACTCGATCTGCGAGCTCACCCAGCGCGACGTGAAGACGTCGACGGGCACCGCGCCGTCGCCGCGGGTGTCGTAGGCGTCGAAGAGGCGCACGAGCGCGCCGGAGACGCTGTCGGGGTCGACGCCCTCGGCCTTGGCGCCGGCGGCCGCGGCTCTGGGGCGCGGGACCGTCGACACGTCGGCGAGGCTGTCGGCGAGGATGTCGGGCGCGTCCGGCGCGCGCGTCCGCCGCTTCTGGAGGTCGCCCAGCGCCTGCGCGTAGCCGCTCAGCTGGTCGAGCATGCGGCACGACTCGTCGTCGCCCGCGGCGCACTCGTTCTCGAGGTTTGTGACGAAGCTCCCGAGCGCGCCGCGCTTCTCCTCAACGTAGGTCGACCAGCGCGGGCCGAGGCGTGTGTGTGGTGTTTTTTGGGCGACGAGCGCCGAGGCGCCCGTCACGGCAACGACGACGGCGCAGATGCGGCGCATGGCGTCGCGACGAGGGTCGGTGCGCACGAGATGCTGCCCGCGAGAATCGATCACAGCCTGAGCAGCTGAAGCAACTTGACGCCTAACTTGAAGCATTGTTGAAGGCATCTGCCGGACGGCGCGACGAGCTCGGCCGGTTACACCCAGCCGAGTCGCATGCGCCTGGCGGTTCTCGTCGTCGTAGCTCCACTGCCAGCGTCTCCGGGACAGCGATCCGTGCCATGTCGACGACGAGACCAAAGGGCCGGCCCGCGCGTAACTAGCTCCGCGCGCGTTGGGCGAGGACTAACGACCAGGGCGAGCAGGGCACGCCTGCGACAGGGCCGGCCTCGAGCCTTCGCTCCCGCCATCTCGCTTCACCAGCGCCTGTCCTGCAACATTCCTGCAATTTGAAGGCAAGTTTGCCAACTCGAGCTCTGTGCTGGCACATGATGGCCGTCATGCTCTCCGTCGCCCTGTGCGCCGTCGGAAGCGCGCTGCAGGCGGCGCCGCGCCAGCCGCGCGTCGCGACGCGGCTGCGCGCCGCCCAATGGGCCGACGAGCGCACGCGCGTCGTCTTCTACGGCGGCGACGGCGCGTCGCACACCTACGGCAGCGTCAGCCCGGCGCCGGAGCCGCAATGGTCCGAGGTCGCGCGGCAGCTCGCGCGGCGCGCCTGCGCCATGGACGAGGGCGTCGTCGCCGAGTCCGTGACGAACCCGGCGTGGAGCTCCTGCGTCCGCGCGGACGTGCTCGTCGGCCTCGGCGTCACGGACGCCGCGGCGGCGAAGGCGTTCATCGAGCGGACGCGGCCGACGTGCTTCGTGGCGGACGCGTCCTGCTCGGAGGCCGTGCGCGAGCTCGTCTTCGCCGGGGACTTTCGGCCGAGCGCGCCGAGCCCGCTCGCCGCGCTCCCGTGGACCAAGGCCGCGAGCTCGCGGCGGCTGCTCGCGTCGAGCGCGACGCTGCTCGGCCGGGGCTCGTCGGAGGACGCCCTGTTCGCGGCGCTCTTCCTCGTGCACGCTCTCATCCGCCCCGTGAAGATCGTCGCGTCCGACATCAACCCGAGCTGGGAGAAGGGGCCCGTGCGGAACGCGCTCGAGTTCAAGAAGATGGTCGACTGCTGCGGGCCCCAGATCTTCACGGCCCTCGGCGACCCCAAAACCAAGAGCGCCATCGACCTGCTCAACGCCGTCGACCTCCGGGACCAGGTCGGGTCCTACCGCGTCATCGTGTCGAACGAGACGCCCGAGCTCGAGGACTTCTCGCTGTGCATCCTCCAGCAGAACAACTGCTTCGGCTGCGACGCGCCCATCCTGGAGACGCCCGTGACGGTGATGGAGGAGTGGCGCGGCGCCCCGCTGGACCAGAACGCCGCGGCCCAGATCTTCGTCGGCCACCTCGACGACCCGGCCGCGTCGCCGGCGGGGGCCGCGAAGCCGTGGTCGTGGAAGATCGTCGTCGGCGCGAACCCGGCCTACGACGCCTTCCCCATGCAGCACCAGATCTTTTACCCGGCGGCCAAGGGCGACGGCCTCTGGTACGACCCCGTCTTCTGCGTCGAGACGCTCGACGGCGAATTGGTGTGGACGAAGCGCCACTACCGCTGCGCGCCGCGCGCGTCCACGCCGGGCCTCTGGACGCTGACGACGCTGGACAACGGGGTGTTGAGCGAGGAGCACTGGACGACCGTCGACGCGGCCGACGACCTGTCCTGGGCCGTGTTCCACTACACGGGCGCGGCGCGCGCCGCGGGCCAGTCGTACCAGGGCGCGCTGTTGTGTTCCGAGGACGGCGCCTGGCCCCGGGGCGCGGACCAGGCGCGCCTCTTCGCGGCCTTCGCGGAGTGCGGCCTCGAGCCCTGGGAGCTCTACGGCCACGGCGAGGACGCGAGCGTCATGTGGAGCCCCAAGTTCACGGACTGGGCCGACGCGAACCCGCCGCCCCTCGACCGCATCGGCGACATGACCGTGACGAAGTGGCGCAAGCTCGAGCGCGAGAAGGCGGGCGTGTAACGTTGACTCTCTGAGCCGCTCGTTGAGGGGAAACTTGACTGCTTCTTACCTCTCCGCGCTCATGACATGCTCGTGCGATGACTCGGTGCGGTGTCTAGCTCAGACGCTGGCTGCAATTATTGCTGTCGACTGACGCGCCATGGCGGCGCTCGCGGAGCGCAAAACGTCGTCGCGCTGCAGCGACGAATTGGACGCCCTCGCCGCCATCTACGGCGACGACGTCGCACTCACGGCCCGCGGCTTCACGGCGCATCTCGACGCCATCACGTTGACCGTTGTCCTGCCCGACGGCTACCCCGAGAGCGCGGCGCCCATCGCGACGATCGAGGCCGCCGGCCGCACGCGCGGCGTGCTCCGGGACGCGGAAAGAAGGCTGGCGGCGCACGTCTCGCTGGGCGAGGAGAGCGCGCTCGCGCTCCTGCAGGAGGTCGAGGCCTGCGTCGCCGCGGCCGCCGCGGCCGCCGCGCCGGTCGCCGCCGTCACCATAGACGATTCCGAGACCTACGCGGTCGTCGGCATCGACCACATGAACGCGTTCGCGTCCTACGCGGCGTCCCTCGAGCGGCTCTCCGCGGCGAACGCGCTCCGCGGCGCGCTCTGGGCGACGCCCGCGCCGCGGCCGAACGCGCCGCAGCGGCGCGAGGGCGCCGTGCTCGTGCTCCAGGGCCGCGACGCGGGCGTGTCCGAGTTCCTGAAGGCGCTGCGGTCCGAGTCCGTCGACGTCGACGGCAAGGGCAAGCGCTGCAAGGAGCGGCGCGCCGTCGTCGAGCGCCGGTCGCCGCTGGCCGCCGGCGACGCGCGGCTCCGGGAGGCCTGGGCCGTCCGGAGCGGCGGCGGGCCGGAGCGTCTCGCGCGCTGCGTCAAGGGGGCGATTGAAGAGCCTTTGTTCCGCGACGACGGCCGCGGCGGCTGCGCGGTCGCGCTCAGAGCGCGGCCCGGGAAAAGCGCGACGTCCGCGACGGTCGAGGACGGGGTTTTGGTCGTCGACGTCGCCGCGGCCGCGCGCGACGGCGCGGCGAACGCGGAGATCCGCCGGTTTTTCGCGGCCGCTTTCGGCGCGACGCAGGCCGACGTGGCGCTCGTCGCGGGGGCCAAGGGCCGGGAGAAGGTGGTGAGGTGCGCGGGCGTGGGGGCGGCGGACGCGGAGGAGAGGCTGCGGCGGGTAATGGACGGCTAGACTTCGGCCTCGACGGTGCACGAAGTGGTGCACGTGGGCCCGCGCATGCCCGGGCAGCCCGGCACCGTGGTACAGGTGTTGACACGGCTGTGGACACGGCGAGGTGCGGTTGGGTAAGAGGCGCGGTGATCCCCCGTCGCCGCCGCGCCGCCGTCGCGAGTAGGGGGGGATGGTTGTTAGATGCGCGCGCGGCGGTCGGTGCACGAGGCCCCGACGCGCGATCTGGGGGGGAGGCGACGAGGGTATGGGTCACAGCGTGGTGGTCGGGCCTCGCCGGCGGCGGCGCGCAGCCCCAATAAGGGGGCGCGACGAACCGCCGCCGGAGGAGCCCGGCCGGCGGCCGGCTTAGCCCTGGGCCGCGGTCGCGCCGGCGACGATCTCGAGGATCTCCTGCGTGACGCCGGCCTGGCGGATGCGGTTGTACGTCTGGGAGAGGGACTTCTTGAGGTCCTTGGCGTTGTCGGACGCCGACTGCATGGACTGCATGCGGCTCGCGAGCTCGGACGCGACGGACTCCTGGAGCGAGCGGAGGATCTGGCCGTCGAGGTAGAGCGGGAGGATGCCGTTGAGGATGGCCACGGGGTCCTGCTCGAAGATCGTGTCCTTGGGGAACTCCTTGGGCTCGGCGGCGCCGAGCGTCGTCGTCTCGACCTCGAAGTCGCCGTCCTTGGTCGACATCTCGAAGATCTCGTCGCCCTCCGTCTCGATGCCCGTGGCGGAGAGGGGGAGGATCGTGCGGATGGAGGGGCTGGACGCGATGAGGGACACGAACTTCGTGTAGATGAGCTCGACCTTGTCCGTCTCGCCGTCGAGGAAGTTGTTGAGCATCTCGCGGGAGACCTCCGACGCGAAGTCGGCGGACGGCACCTGGGGGCACGAGTAGGACGCCGGGAACTCCTCGCCGCGGCGGCGGAAGTAGCCCTCGACCTTGGTGCCCACGGGCACGATCTCGACCTCGATGCCCTGGGCCTCGAGCTCCTTCTTGCGCGCCTCCGTCTTCTTGATGATGTACGTGTTGTACGAGCCGCAGAGGCCGCGGTCGCCGGAGATGGCGAGCAGCGTCACCTTCTTCACCTCGCGGTTCTCGAGGAGGGGGAGGTCGAGCGGCTCCTTGCCGAGCCTAAGCAAATGCAGAGGTCAAGTTTCCCTGGAGGCGGTTCGAGGAGCGGGGCCCGGGGCGGGGCCCGATTTCTTCGTTCGCGCGCGGCGGATCGAGGCGCGCGGCGGCAGCTCGCCCCGCCCCGGCCCCGCCCCGCCCCTGGACTCGCGGGGCGGGGCGGGGCGGGGCTGTCCCCCGGGAGGGGGGCGCGCGGCGGGTCGGAGAATTCGGAGAATTGGGAAATATCCGGCGCCGGAGACGCGCTGCTCAATAAGACCGGAGAACACGGACTGGAGCGTCTCGGAGAAGGGCCGGGTCTGGAGGACGGCCTCCTGGGCGCGGCGCACCTTGGCGGCAGCGACGAGGCGCATGGCCTCCGTGATTTTTTGGGTGTTGCCGACCGTGGCGATGCGGTCGCGAAGCTCGCCGCCCTTGCCCATCTGAAGCGGCGCCGGCGCGGACACGCGCTGCACGGCGGCGGGGCCCGTCTTAGAGACGAACGCGGAGGCCCCGAAGAGGCATGCGAGAGCAACGATGAGGCGGGCCATGGCGGGTTACACTTACGTCGTCTCGGGTGCTGGAGCTGCTAGTGCGCGCAGATCTGCTCGCCGACGCCCACGTCACACTGGCCGGGGGTATTTCGCGACTTCACTCGTCCTTTACCGCTCCTCTAACGCCGGCTTCAAGGCAGCATTGAATCGGATCACCAGTTCGCCTGGCGCGTGATCTTTTCTGACTCAGAGTTCCGCCATCAGCGTAGCTCCCAGCTTCAATCACGAAGGCTTCCTGATGCGCTCCACGCAAGCACGAGTCCCACTGGCAGCTCCAGCCCCGCTCCCCCGAACGCGAAACGCACTACACTAAACCACCAGTTACCGAGCCGTCGCCGTCCTCCTCGCGGGGGGCGCCTTGGCCGGCGCCCGCCGCACCGGGACCTTCGACTTCGCCGCCGTGGCCTTGGCGCGCTCCTTGCGGACCGCGTCGGCCACCGCCAACCGCTCCGCGTCGCCCTCGCGCCGCGCGGCCTCCTCGACGGTCTTGGCGTTCACGGGCAGCGTCAACAAATCCCAGGCCGCGATGACGTCCTCGTCGAAGCCCTGGCGCGCCGACGCCTCGATCTTGTCCATCGTCGAGATCGACGAGAGCGCGTTGTCGCCGCGGTACCGCGGCGAGAAGTGCGTCAGCGCGAGGCACTTCGCCGCCGCGAGGCTCGCGAATTTCGCGGCCATGGTCGGCGTGCTGTGGCCGTGGGCCGCCGTCGCCTCGGCGACCTCGGCGTCCGTCTTGTCCGCGTCCCAGGGTTCCAACCTTGCGTTCGTGGCCTCGTGGACGACGACGTCCGCGCCCCGCGGCGGCAGCAGCGGGAGCAGCGCCGACGCGTCCGCCGTGTCGCCGCAGATCACGACGACGCGCCCGGGCTTGTCCTCGCCCACGCACTCGGACCGCTTCAGCGCCGTGCCGTCCGGGAACGTGAACGTTTGGTCCCTGGCCATGTCCTTCAGTAGCCGAAAGATGCGCTTCGGCTCCTTGACGCCCGCCTGTTTCAACGCCTCCGCGTTCCGCGCGAGGATGGGCTCGACCTTGGCCACGTCTAGCGTGCCCGCCTTGTCCGGCTCGACGCAGACGTAGCCGACGCACGGCACGGTGTGCCGCATGGGCGCGGCGCGGACCGCGAGCGCGCCCCGGGGCGCGAGGGTCCAGGCGCCGTCGGCGTCGGGGCGGATGTCCCGCCCGCCGCGCTGCTCCCCGAAGTTCTTGTCCGGGTCCGCGAGGAAGTTGCGCTCGAGCTGCGTCTCCGACTGCTTGAACGGCGGCGGCGGCGGCCGGAAGCCCGGCGGCGCGAGCAGCGGCACGCCCACGAGCTCGTGGACGACGTAGGGCGCCGCGACGCGCGCGTGCGTGAGCTTCAGCGACGCCCGCAGGTAGAGCCGCAGGCCCTGGGGCCCGAAGACCTCGACGGGCGCGTCGCCCTTGACGCGGTTCTGCCCGATGAGGCACATGAGCCCCGGCAGGCCGAAGCTGTGGTCGCCGTGGAGGTGCGTGACGAAGATGGCGTCGACCTTGCCCGGGTGGACGAGGTGGCTCCGCTGGACCTGGATCTGCGACCCTTCGCCCGCGTCGAAGAGCCACGTCGTCCCGTCGTAGCGGAGCGACGTGCAGCTCACGCCCCGCGTGATCGACGGCACGCAGGACGCCGTCCCGAGGAACGTCACCTCCATGTCCGACGCGCCCAGCGCCGCCTCGCGCTCTCTCCGCTTCGCCGCGCCCAGGGCCACCGACGCCGCGTAGTCGAGGCCCGACTCCTCCTCCGGCGCGCCGGGCTCCTCGGGCGGCGGCATGCGCGCCGCCGCGCGCGCCGGCGGGACGCGGCGCCGGGCGCGGCGCGGCGCGGGCGTGCGTAGCAGCGCCGCCGTGGCGGCAAGGCACAGGAGCAATCGGCCCGCGGAAGACGAAGCCATGTTGCCTGCCCCTCCACTCGTCAACATCAACAGTCGTCAACTTGCAGTGATTTCAAAAGCGGAAACGTGCGCAGCCCAACAGCGGCGAGGGCGACGCGCCCCAAGCGAAGCGGGCGCGGCTCTGCGAGGAGGCCCTGGAGAAGCAGACCGCCGAGTACAAATGCCCAATCACGCGGGAATTGATGGACGACCCGGTCGTCGCCGCCGATGGCCGACTCTACGAGCGGAAGGAGCTCGAGACGTGGCTCGCGACGCATACGACGTCGCCCGTCACCAACGAGCAGATGGCGCGCGGTCCACTCGTGTCCTGCCCGCCCGTGCGGAACGCCATCGAGGCGCTCGTCGCGTCCGGCACGCTCGACGCCACCGACGAGGCATCGTGGCAGATGCGGCGGGGCGAGCTGCTCGACTCTCGAGGGGACTTTGCAGCCGCGGTGTTATGTTTTAAACGCGCCAGCGCGCTCGGGAGCCCCATGGGCAAGTACAAGATGGCAATGTCGCTCTTGCGCGAGGCGTCGGCCGACGGGTGTGCAGAGGCCAGCGATCGATTGGACCGAGTATCTCCAAGGTACCCGCAGTGGACCACGGAGAGCTTAGTCGGCCGATATTGGGGCACGGATGCCCCAATCGACAACCCAACACTCCGAGTCGAAATTGGGGGTACGGGCCTCAACGTTGTCCATTGCGATATGTGGGAACGACCTCACAGTATCATGATGTTAGATAATGGCGAGATCGTTTTGAAAGGCGATGAAATCAGTGACTTTTACCTCGACCAGGAGGAGAGTACCGAAACGCGACTGGTCTGGTATAGCGATGTTCCCCAACCTCATTGCATTTGGTGGATGAAGCTGAGTCCGGACGCACGGGACTCGTCGAGAATTGGGCGACAATTTGCGGCGACCGGGCATGCGGCAGACCTCTCTTGTCCTATTTTTATAAGCCGGCGCTCCACTTAAACGAGGCTTAAACCACATCCGTCCCCGCGCCCTCGATGGGGTTCGTCGCCGCGAAGGTCGAGGACCCCTTGGGAGGGCCGCGGCGGCGGAACGCGTCGCCGAGCGCCGCGTGGTAGGGCCCGTCGTCCTTGTCGTCCACGGTAAAGTCGCAGGGCTTGTCGTGGTCGAGGTGGTACTTCTCGTCCTCGTCGGCGACGCGGTCGATGAGCTTGTCGTTGATGAACTCCTGGCGCCGGACCTGCAGCGCGACGTCGTGGTCGTCGTCCTCGGACGCGAGGCGCCCCGCGACGACGCAGCCGAGCATCACGGCGACGGCGGCCATGTAGCAGGCGTCGCGGCGGCCCTCGTTCACGAGGCCCGGCAGGTAGACGACGATGGCGCAGTTCGTGAGCGCGGCCGCGACGTTGAGGAACGAGTAGACGGACTTGAACGAGCCGATGTCCTGGACGCCGCGGGGTTCGATGCGCCGGTAGCCCGTGAGGTACTTGTAGGCGTCGAGGCGCAGGATGATGAGGTTGTTGAGCGCGCCGATGGGCACGACGACGGGCGCGGCGACGCCGAAGAGCGCGATGTAGCCGTAGTTGATCGCGCCCGCCATGTACCTGGCAGGACAAGGGTGATGCAACGTCGCTTCAACGTGAGTGTTCCGCGCGCGCGCGTTCCAGAAAGATCATCCGCGCTTCGAGAACGCTCCGAGAGATGATCGCTCGTCCAAAGATCAGCCAAAACGAGTGGAAATGGGCCGAGCTAGGAGCCCTTGAAGTTGGGAATTCCGCACCCTTTTCCTGCCCCGGCCATGTACTCGGAGATGGAGTCCTGCGTCTCGTCGTACTCCAGCAGGAGGTACTCCCACTCGGGCCCCGACATCTCCGCCTCGTGGCCGCCCTCGCGGCGCTCGTTGAGCTTGCGCGTCACGAGCGGGATGATCGTGCCCGTCGTCGTCGCGGCGACGAGCGAGATGACCATGATGAAGAGGACGTTGTAGCGCAGGTCGTAGAAGCAGTCGTTCTCGAGGCAGTGCCACTCGTTGCCGATGTTCTTCACCTTGGGGTCGATGTGCTCCTGGACGAAGACCGTGAAGTAGAGCGACCCGTACGCGTTGATGAAGTTGAAGACGAAGAGGCGGATGATGAGCTTGTCGCGGAACTCCGTCTCCGTGCGCCAGTTCTCCTTCTCCGTGCACCTGAACGACGCGCTTCGCGGGTCGGGACACACGGGGCGAGCGACGCCGCGGCGCACGCGACGGCGATCTTCTTGTAGGCGAGCGCCTACGACGCTTTTTTAATCGGGTTTCCGGCCGCCGCTCGAAGACGCGGCGCCGCGCGAAGATCTGGATGCCGCACGCGTTGCAGAGCGTCGCGGGCAGCGTGCCGTAGTCGTCGATGAACTTCTGCTGGTGCTTGAAGACCTGCATGCCCAGGATGAACGCGACGACGAGCAGGACCATGACCGCCGTCGCGAAGGCCCCGAGCGTGATGGCCGCGTCGCGCCTGACGGAAGCAACGAGTTTCCGGGCGGAAGGAGAAACGACCATGGACACCGCCGTCGCGCTTCTTCGGGTGGTAGAAGATCTCCTCGCCGCCGTCGACGGGCGACTTGACGATGCGGCCCTTGAACTGGGGCCGCGGCGGCCTACCGAGCACGACGGTGACGACGTCTCGTTGTTTCCCACCCGAAATCTCTCGAAAGTCGTCACGGCCACAGGACGCCGGCGGCGGCTCGTCGTCCTCGAAGTCCGTCATGCCCCACTCGAGCGCGACGCGCTTCTCCTTGCGGCTCCAGGTCACGAGGAGCGCCGTGGACCAGACGCAGAGCGCGAACGCGAAGCACGCGTGCGCGACCGCCGCCGCGACCGTGCGCTCGCCGAGCAGGTGCGCGAGCGCCTCCGACGCGACGGCGAAGACGCAGAGCACGAGGAAGTAGTCGGTGACGTGGGCCTGGAAGACCTGGTAGAGGCCCTGCTGCTCGCCGAAGTAGTCCTTGTACGCGTCGAAGGGCAGCGACGACGGCCGCGCGTACCAGGGCGCGCGCACCCACGCGTCGTAGAGCGCGGCGCGCTCGCCGGCGTCGTGGAGCGGGATGAAGGCCAGGATCTCGCCCTTGAGGATGCGCTTGGGCAGCGCGATGCCGCAGCCGCCGAAGCGCCGGTTGCTGCAGACGACGTTGCCGAGGAGCTTCAGCCGGTGCATGGACCGGAAGGGGCTCGACGCGCCCGCCGGGACCGCGTAGAGGGGCTGGAGCGCCTCGTCGCGGTCGTACTTGCCGTAGATGAAGTCCACGGGCCGCAGCGTCGACACGGGCTCGCCGCCGCACCTGTGTGGAAATCAACCACTGGTTTGGGTGGTCCTGACCAAACTTCAGAATTCTCTAGCTCGGTCAAATCGAAGTCGATTCGGCTGATTTTTAGACGAATCGATTGCTCTCGTCGAGTTCTCGAAGCACGGCCGAAGAGGTTGCGTCGAAATTGTCGCGTATGCTCACATTGAAGTCGAGTTGAAGATTTGAATTCCACACAGCGCCGCACGTCGTGCCGATGTCGATGGGCGCGATGCCGCACGCCGGCAGCCCCGCGGCGAGGCAGTACTCGAGCCGCGCGGGGTCGAGCTTCATGGCGAAGTTGCGGATGTCGGCCTGGGCGGCGACGCGCGCCTCGGGGCAGCGCACCCTGACGTAGACCTCGTCCTTCTGGATCGACGCGTAGCACTTGTACCTGGGGTGGCGCGAGGGTGTCTCGAAGCGTGGATGCGCTCTTGAACGGCGCGCGGCCGTCTCGAAGCGCGGCTGCGTTCCCCGAAATTGAATCGACGCCGTCCGGCGCTCGACGCCGCTCGCGGTGAGCCGCCGTAAAAGCCGCCGGAACATCTTCGCCTCGCCGATGTCCTGGAAGTCCTTCTCGCGCATCGACCCGAGCTCGATGTCGCCGCTCTCCTCGGCGGCCGCGGGCTCCCACTCCGCCGTCTTGGGCAGCACGAAGACGGCGTCCCAGACCGGCGGCGCCGCGGGCGGCGCCTCCGGCGCCGGAACGGCTTGCTCCTTGGCCGTGGGCGACCGCAGGTGGGTCCGTTCGCCCCGCGGTGCCATGGTGTGCTGCGGCGCGGCTTCGGAACTGGCAGAGTGGAAGGCCGAACTCGATCGAGAGGCTGCCCGCGCGCGCGCGTTGGCGTTGGTTTGCCATGCCGAGGCGCGACACAACCTGTTGAATGTCGAGTTGAGCACCCGATCGAGCCTTTTGCGTGTTGAAGCTCGGACAAGCAGCGAGGGCTAACATGGCACCTCCGCGATCAGCAGTCCGGACGCTCGTGCTGGCGTCGACGGCGCTCTGCTCGAGCGCCCTCGCGCTCGTGAGCGAGTACAGCTCCACGGCGGCGAAGATCTCGGGCCCCGTGAAGACCGTGGGCTGCGTCGGCGGCGCCGAGGCCCTCAGCGACCTGCTCGTGCCGTCGCTCGGCGAGGCGAGCCCCGTGGCCGCGGCGCCGCCCGCGAGCGAGGGCGGCGCGTCCGTCGTCGTCATCGACGCGCGCGGCGGGAAACTCGACGACGCGGGCGACGTCGACGCGGACGGCGTCGCCGCGATGGTCGCGTCCGACGGCGTCGTCTACGGCGTCGCGGCCGCGCCGGCGGCGGGCGACCTCGGCTACCTGAGCGGCCTGCTCGTGGCCCTCGAGGTCGAGCTCGAGGTGCGCGCCGCCGAGGGCGCGCCGCGCGCGCCCAAGGTCGTCGTCGTCGTCGCGCCGGGCGACGCGGGCAAGACGGTGGCCGCGGACCTCCAGAAGGTCTGGGCGCTCGCCGCCAAGCCCCCGGCCTTCCTGAGCGCGGACCTGGGTGCCGTCTTCGCCGTCACCGTCGTCGACTCGCAGCAGGGCGGCGCCGCGGCCTCCGTCGAGGCCGCGCTCGCGGGCTGCGGCTCCGAGGGCAGTGGCGCCGAGGCCGTCGCGCGGCTCAAGGCGTCGTCGCTCTCCGCCAAGGCCGCCGTCGGCGGCAAGGCGCCCAAGGGCTCCGAGGCGGACTACGCCCACGCCCCGGCCGTCGCCGCGGCCGCGGAGCGCGCGCTCGGGGAGACGCTGCCCAAGGCCGCGCGGGACTTGGGCGGCCGCCTCGACCTCGGCCGCTCCTTCTGCGCGAACCTCGGCGCTGAGTGCCTCGGCGTCGTCGGCGACGTCGTCGAGGCCTTCGACGGCGCCTGCGCGGGCGCGGCCGGCTCCTTCCACGCCGCGAAGCGCGCGGCCGTCGAAGCCGACGCCAAGGCCGCGCTCCGCGACGCGTTCCTCCCCGGCCAGCTCGCGCTCCTCAGCGAGCTCGCCTTCGACGACCTGAAGAAGTCGCTCAAGGGCCTGCGCGTCGCCCCGGGCATGACCGCGGAGAGCGCGAAGATGGTCAAGGCCGCGGTCAAGCTCTTCGAGGCCAAGGCCGCGGACGCGCTCAAGGGCACGGGCTGGAGCGCCAAGGCCTCGAAGCGCGCGCTCGAGCTCGCCCTCGGCGACTTCGTCACGGACCGCCTCGAGGCCGCCCAGCTCGGCGGCACGCACGTGCCCGACGGCGAGGCGGGCCTCCGCAAGCTCTGGCCCTTCCCCGTCGCGCTCTCCTTCCACTGGCTCCAGCCCGCCGCGCTCGGCCGCGCGGCGAGCTCCGCGTCGGGCCTCAGCCCCGCGGACCTCAAGCGCTTCAACGTGCGGCCCGAGGACGTCGGCAAGCCGTCCTTCTCCATCCCCGCCGCCGTCTCCAAGTTCACCAAGGGCATGATCTCCTCCAACTCCAACGCGCCCGTCGAGTAGGGCGATGCGCGCGCGTTAAGATCGAGGTCGTTAGCGGGCGGACGGATCCCGGCGCGAGCGCTTCGCTTCGGGATTCGGGGGAACGGCGGCTCCTCAGGAGAAGAAGTAGTCCGCGTCGAGGACCTTGGCGATGTCGAGGTCGCCGCGCGGCGGCAGCGGCGGGAAGTCCGTGTCCGGGTACCGCAGCTCGAAGGACTCGAGGAGCTTCTCGAGCAGCGGCGCCTCGTACAATTCCAGGAAGCAGTGGCGCAGCGTCGAGTTCATCGTCGCGACGTCCGCCGCGTGCGTCCAGTAGCTGTCGTGGACCGCCGTGAACGCGAGGCCCCGGTGGTCCATCTCCACGGCCGTCATGAGCATGTGGGAGCTGTCCAGCGAGTGGACGAAGTTCGGCGGGAACGCCGACTTCTGGCGCGTCACGGACACGGGCAGCTTGTCGCTGTTGTCGACGAGGAGCACGGTTTGCGCCAAGGTCTTCACCGCGTGCTGGCCGTCCCGCCGGTAGGGCTGGACCACGGGCAGCCCCAGGGGCGTGATCCAGGACACGGGCTGGCCGTGCAGCGACACGAGCCGCGCGCACTGGGCGAGCCAGCCCATGATGTGGCGCGCGGACGTGAAGAGCTCCTCGAGGACCTCCAAGGTCAGACGCGCGACGTAGCACGCGCAGAGGTAGAGCTCGGCCTCGTCGACGTCGCCCTCGGGCGTGATGCAGCCCAGCGTCGTCAGCCGCGCCACGGCCGCGTCGCGCTCCGGCGACGGGTCCTGCGCGAGGAGGTCCTCGACCGCGTCCGTGAGGCGGCCCAGAATTTGCTGCCGCGCGCCGACGAACGTCACGCCGTAGACCGACGTCATGACCGTCTGCTTGACGACCTTGCGCGTGATCAGGCCGTCGACGATCTGGGCGAGGCGCACGGTTTCTAAAGCCTCGTCCTCGTCCGTCCACGTGCCCTTCTCCCTCGCTCTTTTGGCCGCCGCGGACGACGCCGACGGCGGGCCGAGCGGCGCGCTGTCGTCGTCGACGCCGACGAAGTGGCGGTCCGCGCCCTCGTCGTCGTCGTCGAAGGCGTCGTCGCCCAGGGCCACCCCGAAGGCCTCCGTCGGCAGCAGGTCGACGCCGACGCCCGTCGCGGCGCGCGCGACCTTCTCCGCCACCAGGGCCCGCACGCCCTCGTAGACGTCCCGCGGCGCCTCGCCCGGCAGCAAATTCACCTGCCGCCCGCCTTCGTGGTCCCGCCCGAGGGCCGCGTAGTGCTGCAAGCCGTTGCAGGAGCCGTCCGCGTGGACCGGCAGCGCGCACTCGTAGTCGCGCGGGTCGTCGAGCTCCGCGGCGCGCGCGAGTTCCCGGCACGCGGCCAACGCCTGCCAGGGCTCGTCGGCCTCGAGCCACCACATGTTCCCGTCCATGGGCCGCTCGTAGGCGTCGCGGATGTCCGCCTCGTGCGCCACCGCGAACGCCGCGCGGTCGTCGAGCGACTTCTTCGAGAGGCCGAACAGGTTCGCGAGGTGGATGCGCAGCCAGAAGAGGCCGTCGTCGCCGAGGCGCTTCGCCTCGGCGAAGGTGAGCATGGCGCGGCAGACGTCGCTGCCGAGGTGGTTCAGGTTCGGCGGCACGGGGTACGCGCGGCCGCGGAAGTCGACGTTGTAGGGAAAGTAGAACGCGGCCTCGTCCTTGAACTGCTCCGCGATGCTGAGCTTGAGCAGCGTGTCGCAGCGCAGCGAGTGGAGCTCGGCGTTGCGCCGCTTCAGGCGCGCGCTGCGGCGCAGGTGCGCGTCGTAGAGCTTCTTGCCGCCGTCCTCGTCGCCGTCGGCCCTCGCCAGGGCCTCGGCCAGGTCCATGGGCTCGGGCAGCGCGAGGTCCTCCTGGCTCGGCAGGTCCGGCCACTTGCCGCCCGACGCCCAGGCCGCCTTGACGAGATCGAAGACGGGGCCGTTGACGGCCCAGGGCACCTTGCCCATCGCGTCGAGCCCCGCGAGCACGCCGCCCTCGATGCCCCGCGCGTTCCGGAACGCCTCCATCTGGAGCGCGCAGCCGTGCGTGCGCATGGCGACGGCCCGCAGCCGCAGGAAGCCGCCCTCGTCGTAGGCCCGCCAGCGCCGCGGCTCGACGAGCATGGGCAGGAACCGCGGCATCGCGGCGCGGCGGATCGTCTCCGGGCAGCGCGCGTGCGACAGGAGCTCGTCCTTGGCGCGGATGATGCCGATCTTCCGCGCGTTCGAGTAGACGATGGTGTGCTCCAGGAGCGGCGACCCCGCGTCGTCCTTGGCGACGTCGAGCAGCGCCATGACCAACGCGCTCCCGAGCTTGGCGCGCGTGATCGTCGGCCAGTCCGTGTCGTCGCCCTCCTCCAGCGCGCGCTTCGCGCGCGAGTTGACGACGTGCGTCGGGAGCCGCGCCAAAGCCCGCGCGTCCAGAAAGGTCTTGGGCACCGCGCGCTTGCCCTCGGCGTCCTCCGCGGCCTTGAGCCGCTCGCGCCGCAGGTTCCGGAGCTTGAGCACGCGCGCCTCGGCCTGCACGGTCTCGCCGAGCGTCGTCACGAGGTTGCTGTACTTGGCGCCCAGGGGCCCGTGCTTGAGGCAGAGGCCGATGGTCGTGTGCATCGTGAGCACCGCGAGCTGTTCGGGCGGCAGCAGCAGGAGGAGCGGGCCGTAGATGCGGAGGTCGCCGCCCTTGTCGCCATCGAGCGTCGCCTTGCGCTCGGCCGTGATGCGCGTCACGAGGGGCTCGTACCACTGGGCCATGAGGCGCTGCACGGGCTTGAGCTCCGCGCCCTTGCCCAAACTCAACAAGTCTTCGATCATCGCCTCGTAGTCCGCGCACGCGGCTTCCAGCGTCTCCTCCTCGAGCTCGAGCTGCCGCTCGTAGAGCGCGTGGCGCTCCAGGGCCTCGCGCTCGCGCTCCGCGGCGACGAGCGCCGTCGACGACACGGCGTCGTCGTTGCCGCTCCGCAGGGCGATGGTCGGCGCCGGCAGGAGGAGCTCGTCCTCCGCGAGGGCCGACAGCGCGTTCGGCGCCGTGGATTTCGGTCTCAGCGGTCGCAGTACGTGCGGTCGCCTCGGCGCAAGCGCCAGCAGGCGTCTCATGGCGCTCGAGTTCACCTACGACGAGCGTCCCATGTTGGCGCCGCCGCGCTGGCGTCTCTGTCGCTCTTCTCGGCTTGCCGGGGTCGATCAGTTTGCACGCGCCCGGCCGGCGCCGCCACTGGCAGACGTCGCCAGGCGCGCCAGACCGTGTCCATGATGCTCTACGTGGACAAGTGCGGGCTTCCCATGCCTGGGTGCATTCGCGTGGTCCGTCGGCCCGCACTGCGCCTCGGCGGTGGGCCATGACAGAGCGGCCACGCCGCGGCCTTTCTGGAGCGGGCATTTCGTCTTGGCGAGCATCAGGTCCACGAAGCCGTTCTTCGCGCGCATCTCGTCAGCATCGAGCTTGAAACGGTGGATCGCTTTTGCCGCCTTTTTCGTGAGGGCTTCGTCGTCGGAGTCGGAGAGCGGGAGGCCTAGCCGGCTGACGAAGCCCAATATTTTTTTTGTGATATAGATCACTTCGAAGACCCATTCGCCGTCGACGTAAAACACAAAAGACGTGCATTTTTTCCGGTCCCCCGCCGAAAGCAGCCTACCCTCGTACTTCCGTACAAGAGCCAGGCCGCGGCGCCCGGCCGGTGCGAGCCTGAGGTCGAGGTTGAGGCTCCGGCTACCTCGCCGCCGCCGCCGCGGCGGTGCGCGGCGCGGGGGGGCTCCACGAGCTCTGCGGCCAGATCTTCTCGCTCTACGGCGGCACCGCAGCCATCCTGTCCCTCGTGCGCATGGCCGCGGCGCGGCCCCTGGCCGCGCACGCGCGGCGGCCTCCTCATGCGCGCGCGCGGCTCTCGTCACGAGCGTCGCCGGGGCTCGGCCGCGGCCGCCGAGCACGGCAGCGGGCGCCCCGCGCTCGAAAGCCAGTCCGTTCGCGGAGGGACGGGGTCCGCGGAACGCGCGCGGCGCGCGGTGCGTCTCGTAGTCAGGCTATTTCACCGCAGAGCATCTCGGCGCCGTCGGTCCCGGCGGAAGCCGCTGCCCGGCGCCGTGATCATGGCCACCCACCTCCTCGCCAGCCACCTGACGCCGGCCGACGTCGTCGGCCGCTTCATCGAAGTCACGGCCCTGGAATTCGCGGACGACGGGAGCGACACGACCCAGGCCTACGTGCTCGAGTGGAAGTCCGGCGGCGGCCTCATCTTCGGGCGCAACGACGCCGTCGTCCACACGCTGCTCCTCGCGGGCATGCGGCGCGTCGACGCCGTCCTGCTCTGCGACAAGAACGTGGGCCGGGCCGAGGCGCGCGCGTTCAAAGAGTGCGTTGGCGCGCCGCGGTTCCTCGTCGCGGCGGAGAAGGCGGACGCCAGCGTCCCGCATCCGTGACGATTTTCGAGAGATTTTGACCGGGAAAGCGATCAAAATCGTTACCGACGCATGTGGTAGGCGGACGCGGACGCGGCGCGGACGCGCTGGGGCGAGCGGGGTTTAGGCGCCCAGCTCGAGGTGTCCCTCTTCGCGGCGACGGATCTGAAGGTGCCCGACGGGTCCGTCCAGGTCATCGCGCGGACCTTATGCGCGTCGTCGAAGCCCTTCGCGAAAGCTTTGCAGCCGGCGCTCCTCGAGCACGCGGGCGAGTTCAAGTTCGCGCCGGACAAGGCCGAGTCACTCGCGACGGCCTGGGCGCGGGCCGCCGCGCGGTCGCCGGCCTTCTTCTGCGGCGAGGAGATGACCGTCGCCGAGGGCGTGTCGTGGGTCCGGCGGAAGATTGTGGAGGAAAAAATAACAAACCCCGACGCCGCCGCGCCCAAGGAAAAGGTCAAGCTCGCGGGCACGGTGCGCGGCGGCGCCGTCGTCTTCGCGAGCCCGGGCAAGGACAAGACGCCGGAGATCCGGCGCCTCGTCTTCGGCGCGAAGCCCCGGGGCACGCGCGTCAAGATCGACTTCAAGCGCCGCGGCGTCGCGGGGAGCAACACGGAGAACCTCGGGCGCGTGGACATGAGGATCGACGACGTCATCCTGAAGAACGCCATGTACCCGGCGGGCTGGGTGCCCTTCACGCACGGCGACGGCAAGCTGCAGGTCCGTTTTTTTTACCTCGATCCGTACGAAGCGTCGTTCGACGGCGAGAACGTGAATAGGGCCGCGCACGACAAGGCGGCCGCGCCCGCGAAGCCGGCCCTCGCGCGGCTGACGACGGACGACGAGTTCGCCGACGCCGTCTCCGGCGAGACCGTGGACGTCGAGGTGGACGACGCCGTCGTCGCCGCGGAAGCCGCGGCGAAGCCGAAGCCGCCGCCGCCGCCGCCGAAGAAGAAGCCGCCGCCGCCGCCGCCGAAGAACGAGGCGCGGCCGTCCATCAGCGGCGGCCTGGCGGCCCAGATCGCCGCGGGCGCCGGCGTGCTCCAGCCCGCGGCGGAGCCCGCGGCGGCGCCCGCGGCGGCGCCCGCGCCGCGGCCGTCGATGAGCGCGGCGCTCGCGGCGGGCATCGCGACGGGCGCGTCGGCGCTCGCCAAGGCCGAGCCCGCACCGGCGCCCGCGGCCCGGCCCTCCCTCGCCGGCGGCCTCGCGGCCCAGCTCGCCGCGGGCGCGTCGACGCTGAAGAGGGCGTCGGACCGCGAGATCGCGCCCAAGGACGACGGCGACGACGACGCGGGCCAGGACCTCCTCTCCCAGCTCTCGGCCCGCATGACGGCCCTCCGCGCCCACGTCGCCGACGACGACGACGACGACGAGGGAAGCGACTGGGGCGACGACTGAGCAAGCCCCCTTTTTTACAGCACCTTGACCTCAATTTGACTTTTGCTCGAGCTCACAAGTGCGATGGCTCGAGCTCTTCAACGCGCAGCAATGCTGCGGCGACCGCTGCTGCTGCTCGCGACCGCCGCGTGCTTGCTTCCGTCGGCGCGCGCGCTCGAGCGGCTGCGTGTCATGACGTGGAACGTGCACGCCTGGCGCGACAGCGACCATCGCGACAACTTCGACGGCGTCGTCGAGACCTGCCAAGGCGAGCAGCCGGACGTCCTGTGCCTCAACGAGGTGCTGCACCCCTACAACATCGAGGCGCAGAAGGACGGCTACCTCGCGGCCGTGAAGAACGGCGAGGGCGTCGGCCTCGACGTGAGTCCCTGCGCCGTCGCCGACAGCTACCTCCACCGGCTCGCGGCCGCGCTCGGCATGCCGCACGTCGCCTTCGTCGAGGCGGAGCGCGCCAAGTGCTTCTTCGGCGCCGCGCCCTTCGGCAACGCCGTCCTCAGCCGGCGGCCCTTCGTCGACGCGGGGCACCTCGTGCTCGCCGCGGAGCCCGGCGACGTGCGCCTCGGCGGCCAGCGGCGCGACGACGTCGAGTCGCGGGGCGTCGTCTGGGCCGCCGTCGAGGTCGGCGACGAGCGCGTCGGCTTCGCGGCCGCGCACCTCGACCACAAGGCCGAGGAGCTCCGCGAGAAGCAGATCGGGCGGTGCCTCGACCACGTAAACGCGCACTGCCCGGCGCTGCACCTCGTCTGCGGCGACCTGAACACGTTCCGCCGCGCGGACCACTCCGACGCGGCGTGGGACGCCATCGTCGCCTTCTACGCGTCGCGGGGCTGGCCCCGGCCGGCGGAGCGGTCCCTCGCGCTCGACGCGTGCGAGGCGAGGGGGTACGCGGACGCGGGCGCGGGCGCGGCGCCGGACGTGACCTGCTGGACGCACAACCCGCTCTTCCGCATCGACCACGTCCTCCTCAACGACGGCCTCCGCCGCGCCTGCGACGTCGAAAACTACCGCCGCGTCGAGTCCGCCGCGTCGGACCACTTCCCCGTGGCCTTCGACCTCACGCTGCGGGACTAATGTACAGGTTCGGGAGAGAGGCGGGGGATCGCGGGGACTTGCGGCGGCTCACTCCCTGCGAGGCTTCTTCCTCGGCGCGGCGCGCTCGTCGTCGCTCGCGAGGTCGACGACCTCGGGCTCGGGCGTCCCCTCGCGCAGGAGCCCGCGCCGGTCGCCGAAGGGCATCTTCGCCCAGTGCTGGTCCGTGGCGCGGCACTTGGGCGGGCCCAGGTCGCGCACGAGGCCCATGGCGCGCGTGGCGTCGTTCCGCGTGCGCCAGACGCGGCCGCCGCCGTCCACCCACCGGAGCGGCTCCGTGCCCATGCGCGTGAGGACGACGCTCCAGCCCGCGTAGAGGTCCGGCGGGCACCGGGCGCCGCCGTGGCTCGCGCCGTAGAGGCCGTCGACCACCATCATCATCGCGGCGCGCGCGCCTTCGACGGTCCTTCGCGGGCGGAGGAAGAGCGGCGTGTGGGCCGAGGCAGTCCGCCCGCCGCGCTCGCCGAGGCGCGCCTTCGGTAGCGACGGCGGCGGAGGAGGTCGCCGCGCGGCGTCGTCGCGCGGCTGCTTTCCCGGCTTGGCCGGTAGAAATCTCCCCTGCGCCGCCGGCCGCGAGACCGCCGGTCTCGCGGGAGCGGCGGGCTGCTCGTAGTCGCGCAGCTGGCGCTTGAGCCGGGCGATGGTCTCGTCGCGCGCGGCGATGGTCTCGTCGCGCGCGGCGATGGTCGCCGCCTGCGACGCGATGGTCTCCTCGAGCTCGGCGACGGTCGACGCGTGGGCGTCCACGAGCGCGAAGGACTGCCGCGCGTGGCTCGGTGCCTCCTCGGCCACGATCTCCAAGCCGTCGATGATATCCACGCCGCCCTCGAGCCCGTCGCCCTCGGGTAGCGCGGCCGGCGGCGGCGAGGCCGGCGGCGGCGAGGCCGGCGCCGCCGCGGCCGGGCTCGGCGCCGCCGCGGCCGGGCTCGGCGCCGCCGCCGCGGCCGGCGCGGCCGGCGACGCGGGCAAGCCTAGGCCACCCGGCTCGAGGAGGAGCGCGCGGCGGTCGCCGTATGGCATGTTTGCATACATCGAATTCCGGCAATTTCCGCGCTCCGAGAGCGGGCCGGCCAGGACGCCGATCTTCCGCGCGACGTCGTTCCGCGTCCGGTAAACGAAACCGGCGCCGTCGACGAACTTCGTCGGCTCCGTAGCGACGCCGGTGAGGACGACGGACCAGCCCGCGTATTTCGCGGGCGGGCACGGCGCGCCTCCGTGCGCGGCTCCGTAGACTTGATCGAGGAATTGGACCGAGAGGTCGCGCGCGCCAGCGACATCGTTCAAGTCGAGAACGCGAAGCACATTGGACCCTTGAGTGTATTTTTCATTCGCCGGCGCGGGCGGGCTCAAATCACCCGGCGGCGGCGCCGCCGGCAGGTCCGACCCGCCCGCCGCCGCCGCCGCGCTCCCCTCGCGCAGGAGCCCGCGCCGGTTCCCGAAGGGCGTCTTCGCCCAGTGCTGGTCCCTGGGGCGGCGCTTGGGCGGGCCCAGCTCGCGCACGAGGCCCATGGCGCGCGCGGCGTCGTTCCGCGTGCGCCAGACGCGGCCGCCGCCGTCCACCCACCGGAGCGGCTCCGTAGCCTGGCGCGTGAGGACGACGCTCCAGCCCGCGTAGAGGTCCGGCGGGCACCGGGCGCCGCCGTGGCTCGCGCCGTAGAGGCCGTCGACCAAATGGACCATCGCGGCGCGCGCGCTTTCGACGGTCCGCGGGCCGCGGAAGAGCGCGTGGGGATGGCCCAAGCCAAACCGCGCGCGGTTGCTTGTCCCCGTGGCCCTGGGCTTGGGCGCGGCGTCATCGCGGGACGCCGAGTCTGGCAGTGGCGCCTCTCTGGCCACGATCTCGAGACCGTCGACCGAAGAAGTCTCGGCGTCCGCCGCGTCGAGCATCGCGCGCGCCTCGCCAAAGTCGAAAACCAATTCCTCGCCGTCCTCCCAGAGCGTGTCGAAGGTCCCCGCCGCCTCGTAGACGGCCGTGACCTCGCCGGACCAGAGCTGCGCGCCGAAGCCTTCGAACTTCTTCTTCACCGTCGCTCCCAGTGCCGAAACCAAAATAAAATCCGAATAGTCCTCGGTCAAAAAGTTTGCACGATCAGTGCAATGTTGAAGTTATCTCTCTACGTTTCCCCGGCCCGAACCCGCGACCCGCGCCTGAAACGCGTCGGAATCGATGCGATTAGACAATTTAACGAGGCGTGGTTGACTCGGTATGATATATTCGACCGATTTTGCCGAGGGTCGAACGAAATTGAGGTTCACCGGACCACGCGCGCGCGCGGTCTACGTACAGAGTAGTAACGCGTCCCGCCTCAGAATAATAAATAATACTTCTATTGGGGGGTCCTACGCCTATGGTTGGTTTCGGCACTGGTCGCTCCCACGCAGAGCCCCGCGGGCGTACTCGCCGCGACTGTCGGCGCGACATCGGAGCGCTCGGCTTCCGTGAAGTCGACGAAACGCGCGGCGTCCGAGGTTTCGCCGTCCGCGACGTCGAAGGCGCTCATCACGAATGTGGCTCCGGCGCTCTGTGTGTGATTGCGATCTGATTGCGCACATGTGCAACCCCTCGCTGAAGGCGACGCTCTCAGGGGCCGCTCCTGATGACCTTCCTAATAGGACTCCTGGTCCTCCACCTCCGACGCACTACTGCGGGACTAATGTACAGTTCAGGAAAGGGGAGTCACGCGCGGGCGCCCTCCCTCATTCCTTCCGAGGCTTCTTCCTCGGCGCGGCGCGCTCGTCGTCGCTCGTGAGGTCGATGACTTCGGGTTCGGCGGGCGGCGGCGGCGGCGGAGGTCGCCGCGCGGCGGTGCCGCGCTGCTGCTTTCCCGGCTTGACCGGTCGAGATCTCCTCTGCGCCTCCGCCGCCGGCCGCGAGACCGGCGGTCTCGCGGGAGCGGCCGGCTGCTCGTAGTCGCGGAGCCGGCGCTTGAGTCGGGCAATGGTCTCGTCGCGCGCGGCGATGGCCTCGTCGCGCGCGGCGATGGTTTCCTCATGCGCATCGATGGTCGCCGCGTCCGCCGCGATGGTCCGTTCGTGCCTCGCGATGGTCGCCTCGCGCGCGACGATCGTCTCGTCGCGAGCGACGATGGTCTCCTCGAGCTCGGCGACGGTCGACGCGTGGGCGTCCGCGAGCGCGAAGGACTGCCGCACGTGGCTCGGTGCCTCCTCGGCCACAATCTCCAAGCCGTCGATGACATCCATGCCGCTCTCCCGCTTCTGCGTCTGCACATGGGACGACGGCGGTGGCGACGGCAGCGGCGGCGACGGCGAGGCTGCCTGCGGCGGCGGCTCGAGGAGAAGCGCGCGCTGATCGCCGAAGGGCGTCTTCGCGTACTTCGAATACTGGAATGTTGCGCGCTCCGAGAGCGGGCCGGCCAGGATGCCCATCGCTCGCGCCGCATCTTTCCGCCTCCGATAGACGACACCGGCGGCGTCGACGAAATTGGTCGGCTCCCGCGCGCCGCCCGTGAGGACGACAGACCAGCCCGCGTAGTGCGCCGGCGGGCACAGCTCGCCGTCGTGCGTGGAGGCCCAAGCCTGGTCGAAGTACTGGACCGACGCGGCGCGCGCGCCCGCGACGTCCTTCGAGCCGAGAAAGTGGGGCACGCGGAACGGCACGGCCTGCTCCTCCTCCGTGATGCCGCCGTGGAGCTCGTCCTCGGCGGCCGCCAGAAGCGGACGCGGCGCCGCGGCCGGGAGCGCGGGAGGCGGCGGCAGCGGCGGCAGCGCGACCGTCCGCTGTTCCTCGGCGAGCGCGGCGCCCTCGTCTTCACTCCGAGCGTCGTCGTCGTCCTCCGCCGCGGGCAGCTGATCAATGAAGCGGTAGGCGACGCCAGAGCTGCCCGTAAGATAATCCGCCGCGAACTCGCCGTCGACGTAGGAGATTTGAAATTTGGAACTGTGGGGGCACTTTCCTTTTATCGTCCCAGGATACCACTCGCCGCCGCCGTCTTCGTTGTTCCAGTATACAATCACAAAAGTGCCGCTGGTCAAGCGCCCCCCCGCGCGAGCGAGCGGACGCACGAAGTAAGCAGGGACCCGCTCTTCCTCCTCGCCATCGTCGTATTTCACGTCGAACGCACCGTCCTCGCGCACGAAGGCCACGCGGCCCGGCCACCATCTCTCGCCGCCGCGCCACTTCGCCTCGACGGCGGCTTCCACCAAGAGCCGGTCGACGACGGGCGTCGAAGTGGCTGAAGCGGCCGCGGCCTCCTCGGACGAAGCGACGCTCAGAGGCCCGCCACCGCAGGCTCCGCAGGTCCAAACGTAGCCGCCGCCGCACCGCTCGTGCCGCGCGTTCTGTCCGCACGTGTCGCAGGCGCGCAGGGCCCAGCCGTCCTCGCCGCCTTGTGATCCGCGAATCTTCATCATCTTGTCCGAGTCGAACATCAGCCCCCGGGGGCACGCGCACGCGCTCGCGGCCTCGCACCTGCGAATTCGACGCGTTCGCGAAGTTTTCGCGCGTTCGAACGCGCACCGACATGATTGCTCGGGATACGGGACGCTGTTACGTACTCGCGCTTGGGGTGGCTGATCTTGGTCTTGGCGTAATCGGGGAGACCTGAGGTCCGCTGGACTACGCCTCGAGCCGAGACGCAGTCGAAGAACGTCGCGTCGTCGCACTTGCAAAACGGGCAGCGAAAAGTGGACTTCGCCGTTTCCGCGTGTTTAGACACGCAAGAAAAGCAGATCAAGTTCCGGCAACAGGCGAGGGGGAAGACCTCGGTCGCTTCGCAACAGATATTGCAGACGACGGATATCTCGGCGCCGTCGTCGACGGTGGACATCTCAGCGCCTTCGTCGTCGGTCGTAGGTGCCTCGCCGACCCGGAGCGGTTCACCTCCGAGCTCGGCCATGGCCGGGGGCGACCTTCGCGACGCGCTTGCAGCTCGGCTTTTGCTCAATTGACCTTTACGACGAAGCTGTGACTCTGGAGCCACGCTGTGGCGACTCGCCGGTCCTGTCAGCCCCTCGAGGCGTCCCTCGGAGCCATCCGACCTCCCACATCCTGCCGCCGGGAGTCTTACGTTTAGAGTCGCATTAAGGCGACTACCAGTGCGACCCTCGCACTCCTGAGCAGGACTCATGTACAGTGCAGGCAAGGGGAGTCACGCGCGGGCGCCCTCGAGCTCCGGGTGCGCGCGGAGGATCGCGGCGAGCGTGCCGAACGTCGCGCCGGTCGGGTCGACCCAGCGCGAGTGGCCGTTGGTCGAGACCGCGGTCCAGCCGCGGCGGAGGAGGACGGGCGCGAGGACCTCGGGGTCGACCTTGCGCTTCTTCGCGGGGGAGGCCGCGAGGTCGACGACGTCGGGCTTCGACGACCGCTTCGGCGGCGCGCGCGCGCCGGCCTTGCGCTTCGGCGGCGTCGCGGCCGCGGGCGCGGGCGCGCCCCGCTTCTGCCTCCCGCGCGCGACGGGCCGGACCGCGCGCGCGACGAAGTCCGCGGGGTCCTCGCGGCGGAGGATGGCCACGAGGAAGTCCTCCGGGCGCATGCGCAGGCCCGCGGCCGTCGACGCCGTCGCGTCGCCGAGCTCGAGGAGCTCGCGGTCCGCCTCGAGGCCCGCCTTGCGGATCCAGACGGCGCCGGCGGCCTCCGCGGCGGCCCTGTAGCGGGGCTTGTCGGGCAGCGCGTAGCCGGCCTCGACGGCGACGGCGTAGCGCTTCTCGAACCGCGCGGGCGCGCGGACGCCCAGGTCGAGGCCGTGGCGCCTCTCGAAGGCCGCGTCGCGCGACGCGTGCTCCGCGCGGGGCTCCGCGAAGCCGCGGCTCGCGCACTCCTTGAGCCACGCGGTCGTGACGACGGGGACGCCGCGCGCGACGGCGATGGCCAGGCTCGTCTTCACCTGGAGCCGGGGGCCCGTGACGAGGACGTCGGCCTCCGTCGCGCTCTCGGCGACGACGAGGCCGCCGCTCGACACGTGCTGCGCGCGGCCGTGCCGGCTCTCGAGGACGGGGTCGCCGTCCGTGCACGTGAACGCGACGCGGTTGGGCTTCGCGCGCGCCGCGGGCCGCCGCGCGGCCGCGGGCGCCGGCGCCGCGGCGGGAGCGGCGGGCGCCTCCTCGTCCGCGACGTCCGGCGGCGGCGCCGGCGGCGCCGGCGGCGCCTCCGCGGCGGGAGCGGCGGGCTCCTCCTCGTCCGCGACTTCCAGCTCCAGCGCCGGCGGTGCCTCCGCCGCGGCCAACGACGGTGGCGGCGCTGCCCGCTGCGGTGGCGGCGGCGAGGGCGCCGCCGCGGGCGTCGGCGAGGCCGGCGCCGCGGGCGAGCTCACACCGCCCGGCTCGAAGAGAAGCGCGCGCCGATCGCCGTAGGGAGTCTCCGCCCATTTCTGGTCCACCGGAGCGAGCTCCGAGGGCTGGCCGGCGAGGATGCCCATCGCGTGCGCGGCCTCGCTGCGCGACTTGTAGACGGCGCCGGCGCCGTCGACGAATCTCGTCGGTTTCGACGCGGTGCGGGTGAGGACGACGCTCCAGCCCGCGTAGCGCGCCGGCGGGCACGGCTCGCCGTCGTGCGTCGTGGCGTAGACCCGATCGAAGAACTGGACCGTCCCGGCGCGCGCCCCCGCGACGTCGTCCGAGCCCACAAAGAGCGGCAGGTGCCGCGCCAGCTGCTTCAGGGACCTGCCCACGGCCTGTTCCTCCGCGTTGTCGTCGTGGAGCTCGGCCTCGAGGTCTAGAATGGCGCCAGATCCGCGCGGCGGCGGCCGCGCCGACGCCGCCCGGCGCGCGCGCGCCTCGAGGGCCGCGACGGTCTGCGCGCTCTCGCGGATCGTCCGCTCGTGCCCGTGGATCGTGTCCCGGAGGCCGCGGATCGTCTCGTCGCGCTCGGCGACCTGCGCCTCGGCGCGCTCCGCCCGCGCGACGGCCGCGGCGAGCTGCTCCGCGGCCACGACGCACGGAGCGGGCGGGCCCGGCGCGGCCGGCGGCGCGGCCGGCGGCGCGGCAAGCGGCGCGGCGGCCGGCGCGGGCAGGCTCAGCCCAAATCTTTGCGCGGCCAGCGCGATAGCGTCCAGCGGGTGCGAGGCCAGCGGCGGCGACGCCGCCCGCTGCGGCGGCGACGGCGAGGCTGCCTGCGGCGGCGGCGGCGGCGGCGGCGGCGGCGGCGGCGGCGGCGGCACCACCGCGGGCGGGCTCGGCGTGCCCGACTCGAGGAGAAGCGCGCGCTGAGCGCCGAAGGGCGTCCTCGCGTATTTCGAAAACTCACGCATTGAGCTCTCCGAGGGCCGGCCGGCCAGGGCGCCCATAGCTCGCGCGGCGTCGCTTTTCGTCCGGTAAACGAAACCGGCGCCGTCGACGAACTTCGTCGGCTCTGAAGCGACGCCAGTGAGGACGACAGACCAGCCCGCGTAGCGCGCCGGCGGGCACGGCTCGCCGTCGTGCGTGGAGCCCCAAGCCTGGTCGAAGTACTTGACCGACGCGGCGCGCGCGCCCGCGATGTCCTTCGAGCCGAGAAAGTGGGGCATACCGCGCGGCGCGGCCTGCTCCTCCTCCGCGGTGCCTCCGTGGAGCTCGGCCTCGGCGGCCACCAGAAGCGGATGCGGCGCGACGGCCGCGGCCGCGGCCGGCGGCGCGGCCGGCGTGCCCGACTCGAGGAGAAGCGCGCGCTGAGCGCCGAAGGGCGTCGTGGCGTATTTCGAAAAATGGGATGTTGCGCGCTCCGAGAGCGGGCCGTCCAGGATGCCCATCGCTCGCGCCGCATCTTTCCGCCTCCAATAGACGACACCGGCGCCGTCGACGAAACCGGTCGGCTGAGACGCGCTGCCCGTGAGGACGACAGACCAGCCCGCGTAGCGCGCCGGCGGGCACGGCTCGCCGTCGCGTGTGGAGGCCCAAGCCTGGTCAAAGAACTGGACCGACGCGGCGCGCGCGCCCGCGACGTCCTTCGAGCCGAGAAACTGGGGCACGCAGAAGCGCGGCGCGGCCTGCTCCTCCTCCGCGGTGCCTCCGTGGAGCTCGGCCTCGGCGGCCACCAGAAGCGGACGCGGCGCGGCGGCCGCGGCCGCGGGCGGCGGCGCGGCCGGGAGCGCGGGAGGCGGCGGCAGCGGCGGCAGCGCGGCCAGCGCCGCGGTCGACGGCCAAGAGCTGTTCTTTTTGAGCGCCTCCGCCGCGCCGTGCTCCTCCGCCTCCGAAGACGACGAGTCGTCGCAGTGCGTCGGCGCGTCGCGTTTCCGGCCGGGCGGGGCCGGCGAGCCCGGCGACGCCGCGGGCGCGGGCGCGGCGAGGAGCACGTGGACGGGCGCCGCGGGCGGGACCGGCGCCGCGGCGTCGGGCGGCGTCGGCGCGGCCGCCGCCGCGCGGGTCCGGCGCCATTCCTCGAGCGCGGACGCCCGCGACGTCTCCGCGTCGCACGTGGCCGCGGGCAGCTCGTCGATGACGCGGAAGGGGACGCCGCGCGCTCCCGGGACGGGCGCCTCGCCCGCCGCGAGGGGCTTGGCGGCGAGCCGGAGCCACTCCGTGGACTCGTCGCAGTAGGCGACCTCGACCCTGCCGTCGCGCTCGCGCGTCACCGTGCCCGCGTAGAAGGCGTCGTCGCCGTCCCAGTAGATCTCGACCTTTGCGCCCGGCGCGAGCGCCGCGGCGCTCGCGCCGGCGAGGCCCGACCGCGCCGCCGCGCGGCGCCGGGCGAGCGGGCGCACGAACGCCCGCGGCACGCGCGCCTCCGCGTCGCCGTCGTCGTAGGCCACGTCGATGGCGCCGCCGCCGTCGTGCACGAAGGCCACGCGGCCCGGGTACCACGCGCCGCCGCGGCACCGCGCCTCGATGGCGTCGCCCTCGAAGAGGAGGCCCTCCGCGTCGGCCGCGGGCGGCGCCGCCTCGACGACGGGCGGCGGCCGGGCCGCCTCGACGCGGCGGTCGTCCGCCGCGCGGTCCTCGGCGTCGGCCGCGGCCTTGGCGAAGCGCGCGACCTCGGCCTTGGAGCGGAAGATGCGGCCGGCGGGGTCGAGGAAGATCGCGTCGCCGCGCTGGTTCGTCGTGACGCTCCAGTTCGTGACGACGCCGCGCGACAGGCCCTTGGCGGCGAGGTAGTCGGCGAGCTCCGAGAAGGCGCGGCGCGTCCGCGGCGTGTCCTCGACCGCGCCGGCGACGTCCTCGGCGTCCGACTCGTCGACGTCGGAGCGCTCGAGTTCGGCGTAGTCGACGACGGGCGCCCGGGCGAGGAAGGAGTCGTGCTCCCGATGCATGTGCGCGGAGAGGAGCTTGGACATGCCGAAGGATGTGACCTTGTCCTTCTTGAAGGCGGCCTTGAGCGCGGCGTCGCAGACGATCTCGTTCTTGTTCGCCGGGTTCTGGAGGTCGTGCTTCTTGATGTACTTCCAGAGGAGCTTGACGAGGCGGAAGTGGTTCGCGCGGCCGACGCCGACGACGGCGGCCATCGCGTCGCTGAGCACGGGGTGCCGCGGGTCCTCCTCGTCGTCCGCGAGGCCTCGCGGCGGAATCGACGCGGCGGAATCGACGAGGCCGCGCGCGGCCGGCGCGGACTCGGGCTCCTCGCCGCCGCAGTCGCGGCACGTCCAATTGCCGCCGCCGCCGCACCGCTCGTGGCGCGCCTTCTGGCCGCAGGTGTCGCAGGCGCGCAGGGCCCAGGCGTCGTCGCCGCCGAGTGAGACGCGGGCCGTCGACGTCCGGGCGCGCGAGTCGAACTCGCGGCCCCGGGGGCACGCGCACGCGCTCGCGTCGCAGAGGAGCTTGACGGGCCGGATCGCGGCGTTGGCGTAGTAGGGGCGGGGGCCCGTCCGCTGGACGAGCGCGCCCCGCGCGGATACGCATTCAAAGAACGTCTCGTCCGCTCGCGAGCAGAACGGGCAGCGAAAGAGCGGGCCCGCGGCGTCGGCGTGCTTGGAGACGCACGACGCGCAGACCAACGCCTGGCAACAGGCGAGGGGAAAAACCTCGCTCGCGTCGCAGGCGCCGTATTGGCAGACGGATATCTCGGCGTCGTCCGGGGTGACCTTGACGCCGCCCGAGGCGGTCTCGGGCGTCGGCGACGCGTCTATGACGCCACATTCCGACGCGTGAAAGCGGAGAACGAGGTCGGACATGGCGGGGTCAAGCGGCGACTCGTCGCTCCTCAAGCTCCAAAGCCTGCTCTTCGAGCCTGTGGAGCCTCTGTGGCAATCGATCCAATCGCTAAACGAGCATAGCTCTCACGGGGTGTAGCCCAGGCGCAAAAGTGGCATCGGCAGTCTCGTCGGTTACGGGCTGGCTCCAGGGGCCTGCGTGGATTGGTGGCGCGCTCGCGCCGCGCGCCGCGAGCGGGCGCGAGCATCTCCAGCCCGCGACCGCGAGCGAGCCAGCATCGTCCGAACTTTGTTCTTCGACTGCGACCGAACTAGGCCCGACGATTGGAAGAGCCCCACGCTCTGAGTATCAGAGGCAGGATAAGCCTCGGGACCTACGAGTGCGCGCCGCGCGGCCGAGGCCGATATTGACGGCAACAAGCTCTTTCGTCACCTCGCTGCCTCTGTTTCGACAGCCGATGAGCTGCGGCGGACCGGCCGAAAGCTAAGCGTTTAGGACCCCCCCCGCGCGCCCATAAACAGACCACACCCCAGAAACACGGCGACGATGTCCGGCTCCCGGGGCCTGCCCCTGACCTACGACCAGTGGGTGCGGCGCGCGACGCTCGACGCCGTGCCGCCCAACAGCGACGGCCTCCTCCACGTGGGCGAGCGCGCGGCGCTCATCGAGCAGCTGTCCTACCTCAAGAAGCGCAACGCGCAGCTCATGAAGCAGCAGCGCGCCGTGCTGCTCGCGGCGTGCGAGGCCCAGGCGGCCCACGCGCAGTGCGCGGATTTCGCGGGCGAGCTCATGCGCGAGAAGGTCCTGAGCGAGCAGCGCGCGGCGGAGCGCGGCGGCCGGGGCGACGACGCGGCGTCCGTGGCGTCCGACGCCGCGTCGACGGCGTCCGGCGCCGCGGGCAAGCGGGGCAAGAAGATCTTCGGCGTCCGCGTGCCGTCGATGCGCAAGCGCGACAAGCCGGCGACGGGCGGCGAGTACGAGGCGTCGTCGGCGGCGGGCGACGACGCGGCGGGCGACGGCGACCCGGCCGCGGGCGCCGCGGAGATGGGCGAGAAGCTCACGCGCCTCGAGCACGAGAACGGCGAGCTCCTGCGGAAGACGGCGGTGTTGGTGGACTACGTGCGCGCGACGGCGTCGATGCCCCGGGGCCCGCTCGCGGGCCCGCGCGACGCCGACGACGACTTCTCCGACGACGACGACGACGACGACGACGACGCCGAGCTCGGCCTCCCGCCCAAGAACGGCCAGCTCGCGGGCTCGGCCTGCCTGCCCGAGCCCGTCCTCTTCGACGAGTTCGCCGGCGCCTTCGGCGCCAAGTGCAAGTGGGAGTCCTTCATGTCCGGCATCGTCTCCGCCTTCGGCGCGCCCCAGGGCGGCTCCTTCCCCGACGAATTCGACTCCTGAAGCGCGCTAAGCGTCCTGTTTGACCGCGCGCCTCGGGCCGAGGCCGCGGGCGGCGCGTCTCGGAGGCGCGACCGCCCGGTCCCCTCGGGCCGCGGGCGGCGCCCTAGGAGGCGAGGGCCGCGAGGGACCGGGCCGCGCAGGCGCGGAGGTCGCCGCGGATCTTCGCGTAGTCCATCTGCGCGTGGAGGTCCGCGGCGGCCAGGGGCCGCGAGCCGCGGAAGGCGCCGCGCGCCGCGCGGAGCGCCGCGCGGTGGGCGGCGGCGGCGACGCGGCGCGCGGCCGCGTCGAAGACCGCGCGGCCCGCGGCGGCGGCGCCGTCGACGACGGACCGCGGCGCGCCGCGGTCGCGGCGCAGGTCGTCCTCGAGGAGCGGCCGCACGCCGACGTCGAAGCGGGCCCGGGCCGCGTCGACGGCCGCGCGCTCGAGGTCGTCGCGGCGGCCCCCGAGGCGCGCCGCGAGCCGCGAGCCCCGCGGCCGGCGCCGGCGGTCGCGCGCGGTCTCGCGCGTCGACAGCACGACGCGGTAGTCGTCGTCGAAGTCGTCGCCGTCCGGGCCCGGCGGCGCGCCGGACGACGACGGCAGCCAGCGCCGCTCCTCCGGCGGCGAGCGCTGCTC